CCCACCAGAGACTCATATACTCCTGTGGGAGTGGGAGGGGGGTTCGTGGGTGGAGCAGGAGCAGCAACGGCAGCAGCAGAAGCGGAAGAAGGGGCAGCTGGGGCAGCAGCAGAAGGGGAAGCAGGAAAAGCGACGGCAGCAGGAGGAGCAGAAGCAGGAGGAGCAGCGGGAGCAGGAAAAGCAGGGGGGGCGGCAGGGGGGGCGGCAGGGGGGGCGGCAGGAGGTACCTGCTGAGAGGTCACTTCCGCCATGGTAGCATGAGAATCAGAGGTGGCCGCATGGGAAGTTGAAGTGGTTCCATGGGACATTGACATTGACATGGTTGCATGGGACATTGACATTGACATGGTTGCATGGGATGTTGACATGGTTGCATGGGAGATGGAAGTCCAAGGTGTTGCTGGGTGCTGGGCTGCCTCAGCAGGAGAAATGCACGCCTGCTGCTGCTGTTGGTGATGATGGTGCTGCAGCTGCTGATGCCGATCCTGCTGCTGTTGTTGGTGATGGTTGTGATGCTGCTGAAACTGATGCTGTTGTTGCATCTCCCACCACCTCTCAGTCTCCAAAAAACGAGGCTCCAAACCTGTCGACTGCTGTTGCTTCTGCTGCTGCTGCTGCTGCTGCTGCTGCTGCTGCTGCTGCTGCTGCTGCTGCTGCTCATACCGTTGCTGTTGGAGCTGATACTGCTGCCGCTGGGACTGCTGCTGCTGCTGCTGCTGCTGCTGTTGAAACAACGGGTAGAGGTCCGAGAATGACCGCATGGCTCCATCAAACCCACCCAACGGCACCTTCCGCTTCCTCTCCCCGTCTCCTCTCCCCACCGCCTCTCCGTCTCTTTCTCCGTCCCCTCTCCCTTCTCCATCTCCTCCCCTCCCTCCAGTCCAACTCCCCACTGCACCCCTGTATCTCCCTCCTTCCCCCATCCCCATTCCACCACCGTCCAGCACCTCACTGCACCCCCCACCATCCACGCCAACAGCTGCAGCATCACTGACAGCATCCCCACCGCTTCCCACCCCACTCAACCGCCCAGCAACAGCAGCTGGAGCAGACAATGACGGACCACCACCACCACCACCAGTAGCAGCCGCAGCTGGCGCATCCAGACGGTTTGCCTCTTCCCGCGTGCCCCATCCTCGCTCCAAAGAGTGTGCCTCTTCCCTCACTCCCCACACCTGGTCTAACTCGTACAGCATCGTCTTGTGAGGCGCCTCAATAGGTGCTGCTGCCCCCTTGATCAGCCCTCGCTCCAAAGAGTGTGCCTCTTCCCCCGTGCCCCACACCTGGTCTAACTCGTATAGCATCGCCAGTTGATGCTCTAACGCCCCACCAACCCCCTTCTCCACTCCGCCTTCCCCTTCCCCATCCCCTTCCGCTTCCACTTCCCCTTCCCCGTCCCCTTCCCCTTCTCTTCCCTGTTGTTTCTGCCCCGGCCCTCCTCCTGGTGTCCTCTCCCCTGCCCTTTCCCTTGACTCTTCCACTGATTGCTCCCCTTCCCGCTCTCTTTTCCCTGAATATTCTCTGCCCCATCTACTGTCCTCCCACTCGCACATGTTTTCGTCTGGCAGCGCTGCATCTGCTGCTGCAGACGATGCTGCTGCTGCTACAGCTGGCGACGCTACAGCTGCTGACGCTACAGCTGGCGATGCCGCTGAGTCGTTACGAGCTGCGGAAAGCGTTTCGGAAGGAGGAGCATTCGCAGGCTCTCCGACTCCAGTGCCCTCAGCTGTAGCAGCAGCAGCAGCCGTCTCTAGCTGTTGTAGCGGCTGTGTCTGGCTCGTTCCAGCCGCAGCTGTAGCAGCAGCCGTCTCTAGCTGTAGCGGCTGTGGTTCTGTCGCACTCCCCTCACCCTGCATCTGTGTGACCATAGCTGAAGCCATGGCTGTAGCTGTAGCTGTCGCTTGGGACTTGTGTTTCTCCAGGAACCTCCTGCCCTTGGGACACGTGGCACAAAAATGAGAACACCGGACGCGTTGCGTGACATGAGAGCATGGCACGTGGAATGGCATGAGGGACTGGTGATGGCGCGCTGATCATGGCTAGATCGACAGACCACATACTGGCGTGAGAAAGAAAAAAGAAAGAAAGAAAGAAAAAAGTGCAAACCAGTTTAAGAGGATAAAGCTGTTGGTCTGGTGAAGTGCGGTGTAACTCACTTTTTTAGGAGGATGAAGCGGTTGCAGCACGCCTTGTTGTCGCGCAGCGGCAACGAGCGGCTTCGCTGCAGCAGCCCCCAGTTGCGCGTGCCGTAGCGCGTGACGTGGCGCAGCAGAATCCTGTCCTCCTGGGGAGATAGAAGGGGATAAGGGAAAAGGATGGGGGAAGAGGGAACGCTGTGAATGCAGCACCCCCCAGTTGTACATGCCGTAGCGCGTGACGTGGCGCAGCAGAATCCTGTGGAGGGATAGAAGGGGAAAGGGAAAGGGATGAGGGGAGACGGAACACTGTGACGGCCCCAGTTGTACATGCCGTAGCGCGTGACGTGTCGCAGCAACACCCTGTCCTCCTGGGGAGAGGGGATGGGGGAGGGAGAGCAGGAGATGGGTAGGGAGGGGGAAGGGGGAAGGGGGAAGGGGGAAGGGGGAAGGGGGAAGGGGGAAGGGGGAAGGGGGAAGGGGGAAGGGGGAAGGGGGAAGGGGGAAGGGGGAAGGGGAAGGGGAAGGGGAAGGGGAAGGGGAAGGGGGAAGGGGGAAGGGAGAAGGGGGATGAGAAAGACTTGAAGAGAAGAGTGCTTGGTTTCGCTGCAGCAGCCAGTTGCGCGTGACGTAGGGCGTGCGATGTGGCGCAGCAAACTCTGTCCTCCTGGGTGAGGGGACAAGGGAATGGGGAAGCAGGGCGATCAAGGAGAGCGTGAAGCAGCTGCAGACGAGGCAGCTTACAACTTAAACGGCTGGCCGCTCACCTCGTTGGCCCATCTATGGGGAACGGATCTCAAAAGTGACACAACCTTTTTTGAGAATTCGATTACAGCGGCTCACCTCGTTGGTCCACCGGAGAAACTGCTCCGGGGGAACGTCGCCGTATCTGCCGCCGCCGGCGCCGCTGCTGCTGAAACTGCCACCGCTGGCACTGCCGCGGCCGGCGCCAAAGCCGGAATACCATCGCGGCGATTCCAGCGTCACATTAGCACCAGGAGGTGTTTGAGTTGATTCGAATGGCAGCAGCACGCTCCGATCTGGGTGCTGAAACGCTGATGAGGGGGCGCTGATCCCAGTCGGGTTCCCCCAGAGGCCTGCGCCGCCTGCGCCGCCCGCGCCTGTGCTTCCGCCGCCTGGTAGCCCCCCACCAAAGCCTCCGCTTAAGCCTCCGACTGAGCCTTCACCGAAGCTTCCGCCTGCGCCTAAACCTGCGCTGAAATCTCCTCCGGAGCCTCCGCCTGCGCCACTCCCCCATCCGCCGACCGTTGAAACGCTGTTGGTCGTTGCGCTGCGCGTCAGCAGGCCAGGTGCCGCCTGCGGCTCGCCGCTCCAAGCGGCGCGAGTACCGCTGCGCCCGATGGTAGCAACAGCAGTGGGACTCGGAGTATTTCCAGTAAAAGGAGCTCCTGAAGGTAAGAGTAGGGGGTCTCTAGGAACCAGACGAGAGCCTCCGCTCCAAGCGGCGTTCCAGGTTTCCGGCGGCGCGGCATGATACCCGCTTCTGGAAGCCCCGATTTCGTTACTAGGATGAATGTTCGGATTCGGAATATTGCTGCTCCTATGCGGCTGTATCGGTTGCCCGCGCTTCATGTCGAGCCACGGCCGGGACGAACTTGAAGAGAAGTAGTAGTGCTTTTAGTAAGAGTACTAGTAATACTAATACTAATAGTTGTATTACGACTAATATTTCTAAAACGCCTGCTGCTAGCAGTACTGCGAGTGTCCATGAGCGCGTCTTCATCGAACGATGATTAGCACATTATGGCTCTTTGCGGATTCCCGCCACTCACGATGCAAATGCAGACCGACTGGGAAGTTACTTTGGAAGTTTGTTCGGAGAAAATACTCGGAGATCTTGGTGAGGTAGAGATAATGAAGACTCTGCGAAGAACGAATTGTGACTCGGAGTCCGGTAGTCGCAAACGTGACGCTTTCAGAAAATCGGGGGTGATGCAATGGCTTTCAACGTGAACGAGAGATTACTTCGGGGGATCTCCCACAGGATTCTTCAGGAGTTTGCCTCGTGCAGGAATCTTCTTCAGTGGCAATAGAGGAGGTCTCTGCTCGTCAGATATCCCACGCATTATAAACGCTGCCGTTCCTGTCTTATCAAAGTGAGGTGTAAAAGGCCTAGAAAGATGCATGGTTTGAGCAACAAGGGTTTTATAATGATGCTCCAGCTCTGCTTGTGCATGTCTAAGATTCGTGGATTTGGAAAAGCGTGAGGCGATAAGGAGGGGGCATGGAGCGGACCCCCCTGGACTCAATTTCGAGAGCAAGTCGGGAAAAGAAGATTGCGACATTGCGCTTCGGGATAAGGAATGCGATGCGCTCGGGGAATAAAGGCATTGGTTCCACCCGTATCTGCGTGCCAGATGGACTGGGCTAAGAGGAGGGGAAGATTCATGTACTTCTCCACGTCGGCCGGTCAACCGAGGAAAGTCGCAAAACTTAATAACTGCAATACCATTGGGGCCAATATCGTATTGTTGTTACCATCAATTTCTACTTTTTATCTCCATTTGACTCTGTTTTCGAGGAAACGGTCTGCCCGGACGGTCAACACGGTAACACCTTACAGATTCTATGGACAATGCACAACGTCGAGAAACTGAGACCAGGTTCAGTCTCGAATCCTGGTTGACCCAGGGTCACCGAAGTTGTATTGTCGGCTGCTGATGTGGCGCTTGGTGTTGGGAAGTGCTCGCGCTACACGATATTCATGAACGCGGTATAGTAAGCATGTAGTCTTATTTCACATAAAGTATGTTGAAACCGAATATCAGCTTATTTTGCGTAGTATATCATGAACATTTACTCTATAAAAGGAAAGCCACCAGCCAGAGGCAAAAGGAAAGCAAATCAACCTGAAGACATCATCTCCAGCAAAAAGTCTGGGCGCAATGCCGGGACCTCACCATCTTCTCTTGGAACACCACGGCCATCAATCAGCCCCCCCATGTCCTCTCCAAAACTTCCCATCATGCATGCGGAGAAACCAACACCACCAACTTTAATGGGCGAGTCCGATGGCTTACCCACACCAGCATCGGAATCCAAAAGAGTCAGGTCTGGCCACGACAGGCACGAGGTGAGGCTGTTCAAACACGCCAAAAGCTCTGAATCCGGAACAAGCACCGAACCCGCCACGTATGGCATGCCACCAGCATTAGCAGCAGCAGCAGCAGTGTCAGCAGCATTTTTTGTGTCGACAATCGACGAGTGTGCTTCGCGACACTCTTCAGTGACACCTGCCCTCTCGACAGGCCAGTCGTCGCAGTTTCGACCGGCAAAAGCAGCATCAGGGGCAGGGAAATCGCACCCGGCATTGGCAAAAACACCCAACGCATCGGCAAGCCGGGCGGCACGAGGAGCAGGAGAGGCGGCCGAAGGGATTGCTGCAGGAGAAGCAGGCAATGCGGGTGAAGAAGGAACAGCATTGCCTGCATGGTTCATGGAACTCCACTGCTGCTGCTGATGCTGCGTCGGCGGCGGCGGCGCAGGGGTCTCATCGGAGATCTCGGTGCCATTGCTGCAGGGTTTCACAGCGCCATTGCTTTGGGGTATGGCGATCGTCTCCTCCCACGCCTCCTCCCACGCCGCCTCCTCCTTGCACGGCCCCATCATCCTCACTCTCTTCCGCGCACGCTCATCCACACCACGCGCACCCCCACCAGTAACAGAAGCAGCAGCACCGCCAGAAGCACCACTGGCGGCAGCAGCAGAAGCAGCAGCAGCAGCGGCGGCGGCAGCGGCGGCGGCGGCGGCGGTTGATGAAGCGCCGAAGGCGGATGGGCTTGAAAAATCGGCGCGGTTGGTCACCTGGGTGGAGATGGTCGGAGAGACGACTGCTCCCGCGTCAGCAGGGGCAGGGGAAGCAGCGGGGGAAGCAGTAGCAGCAGCAGCAGTAGCAGCAGCAGCAGCAGCACCAGCAGCGGTGGAAGCAGCAGCAGCAGCAGCAGCAGGAGGATGAGCCGAGGAGGCGCTGGGGCGCTGCTGAACCCCGAGGAGAGTCGGAGTACTGGGGGGAGAAGCACCAGGGGGAGAAGCAGCGGGCGGAACAGCGGGGGGAGAAGTCCGCGGAGCTGCGCAGGGGGCGGCGGCGGAGCGTGCCGTCTGCTGCGCGCGAGGAAGCGCGGAAGCGGGAAATGCGGCGTGATGGGGCGCGAGCGGTGCGCGCGACGGATTCGGGGCGAGACTCGTCGAATTGTCCGAGCAGGCGGCGCCGGCGGAAGCGGCGGCAAGGGAAGAAACGGCGACGTCGGCGGCGGTAAAACCCCAATCGCCGGTCAGGTCGACGACGAGACGCGCCGGCGGCGACGACTTCCGGGGCGGCACCGCGTCGGGAAGCAGCGAAAGATGCGGCGCCATGGCGGCCGCGGCAGCGACGGACGAGGGATGCGGCTGATGATGCTGATGCGGCGAGAGGGCAGCAAGTGGCGGCGCGGTGAAGGAGAAAGCCTCCATGGAGTTGAGGGAGTTGAGGGAGTTAAGAGAGGCGGAGTGCGGCGAGGGGTAATTACTGCTGCCACTGGCATGCGAATGCTGGTTACCACCTCCAAGCGAGTGCTGGTGACCACTCCGAAGAGGCGAGTGGTAACCGGGAGCGGAATGCAGCGCGGAAGCCACCGCCGTGGCGCTCCAATGGTGCGACTCGCCGACTGGCGGCAGCGCGAGCGGCGGCAATGGGAGCGAGCCGCCGCAGCCGGGAGCCGACGATCTGACGGGATCGGGACCCATCGAAAACACGCCGTGAGCCACGGCAGATGAGCCGTCTTGCTCGATGAACTTCCTGCGAACAAGGAGCGGAACAGACGGCGGGTGGGAGAGTCGATGAGAGGAGAATTTTGCAACGTTTCCGACAGAAAGAAACGTCGTCACGACGTTTTTGATGCAATATTTTTTCCCCAGTTCTGAAATTTGGGGTTACAAAGGTTCAGAGCGGTCCGCGAAGCACTTTTTGAGCAGAAAGGTTGTGACTCACTTTTTCAGGAGGATGAAGCGGTTGCAGCACGCCTTGTTGTCGCGCAACGGGAGGCGGTTGCTGCGCTGCAGCAGCCCCCATTGGCTGGTGCCGTGAAGCATGACGTGCTCCAATAGAATCGCGTCCTCCTGCGCGCCGCGACGGGATACGACGGGTTAAGAGGAGACGAGACAGGTAAGACGAGACAAGACGAGGCGGGATGTGAGATGGGGTGTAAAGCTATGCGAATTTGAATGCATGTCCTCGGGAAAACTCAATGTAGGGTGCTGTAATAGCAACGCGATCGAGTATTCAACGGAGAAGCTTACCTCGGGAGTCCATCGTGCGATGTAATGTCTGGCGGGCCGCGTTTTGACCCTCGACTTCATCGAGCACCCTTCGCTGGAAATCGCATCCATCCCGTAGTAACAGCGTTAGCGAAAATTCTTGAAGAGTTTCGTTATCGCTTTCGTCGAACGCGAAGGAGCCCCGTGTCGCGAGTCTGTTGGATGGTTTTCAAAATCGAGGAGGAGATGAAGCTCGAGCGTGGAATAATCAGCTGAGAAGCTCACAGCCCTTGAAGGAACTTGCGTTTCGCAAGAGTGAGTTCCACAGTGCACCAGCAAGGCTTTATCAAGACTTCTCGACGTGTCAAGTGAGGCGGTGGTTTGGCAAGCAGCGTCACGATGACAGTATGGTCTGGTCCTTCGAAGAAATAAGCTAGGTTTCGTAAGCCGCGAGTTACAGCAGAGGAGTCGTGGGTTGCTCGTCTTGGTCCGCGCGTCGAATATCTCGAGCGGCATTGGGGGGGAGATGGGGGTGAGCAAGAGATTTACCGCGGAAAATGGGGCACTAGGGGGGAGGCCATGTGAAGGCAATCGGCGCGCTGTGCTGGTGCATGGATGAGTTTGGAAGAAACCGGCTGGTGCGCACTGGGGGGGGGAGGTGGGAGAAAGGGCTACGGGAGGGAGGGTGCGGAAGTGCGGAAGGGCGGAAGTGCTTGAGGACGTCGCGCTCGCGATTCGCCAGGATTGGCTGGTGACTTCACGGGGGACGGGGGAGTTTTGGCCGCGCGGGCATCAGGTTGGTTTGGGGATTGAACTTGGAAGGAAATGCGCAATGCGTGGAGGGGAAAGCTGGGAAAGGGAAAAGGGCGATGGGTAAGTGAGGTGGGGCCCAAGAAGGGGGGTCCCGCGGTCCCTCCCACCCCCCCATGCCTCCGCATACCTAAGGATGCGCCAGCACTAGCTGTTCTGGTGGTCCAAACCCATCACAACCTTTCTTATTTCCCCAATACAGTACCTCACCCATCCCATCACCGTATCTATTTCTCCTCCCCCCACCTCGTGGCTGGTGAGACTTCCCCCAAGTCTTCCCCCCAACACTAAAAAAAAGGCAGGTGATCCGAAAGGAACAGATCGGGAAAAAGTGGGCCCGTGCTCGCATGGCGGAAAGGGAAAGTGCGCATAGTGTATCCCGGGTCATGGCGAAAAGCGGGAAGCAGCGGGTGTCAGCGGACGGCATCTAGGCGGAAAGCTGGCATCGCCGGCGTCAGAAAGCTTACTTGGTGACTCATTGGCTGGAATTTCTGATGACGGGTCTCATGCAGAGCATTTCTCTTTGTGGGAAAAACGCATCTGACGGTGACGATGAGCCACAAGCTAAGGCGTCTGAATATCTTCTAGAGATATCTCCTCAAGCTATGCGAGACTGCAGGATAGCTGATTGGCTGATCACTACAACTACTCTAACCAATAAGGGCTTTCGAGTGGCCAACCAAAAATTGGGGGGACAAAAATACAGTGCACTGCTGTACAGTACAGTTCCAAAACCATTCTGCCGACCTGTGACGTTCTTTGGATGACATGCATGAACCACGACAAACCAGGACCGTAACGAAACAAACAATCGTCTGTTTGAAGTGTTCAAACAACCTGGTCCAGTGTTGGCGAATGCAACCAACCTACCCGCACGGAATAGTAACTTGTGTGTGAATCAATCATTTCACGCGTGCGCACGCATGTGCAACGCAAAGAATCACGGTCACTAATATCTTCGTTGTCACTACGAAGCAGCCCGCTGTTATGCATGAGTTCTCCCAGTTGACTTAGAGTCGAGCTTCCTACTCACTCTCTTATAAATCATAACATGCGTTTTACCGGTCGAATTATTGTTGTTTCACCTCCTTGTTTCCATGTCTTCAACCTTTCACGTGTGTGTGATAGTCAACAATCTTGAAATTTGCTCTACCCATACACACATATCCACCATGAGTCAAGCAAAGTAGCTAGCATGGCTCTTTCCCCACCCCCACCCTGCCCCCACCATTTATGCTCTTTTCCCATCCTCATCCCACCCCCATTTTTCCACCAACAGCTAAAGTCAGCTCGGGCCAGCCCCATTTTACACGCCTTGCGACAATTCCCAGCATACCCGCCCTCGCCCACCATGTACCCGGGGTTGCGTTTATGTACCAGCGGCTGCACGCCACCCACATATGATGCAGCTGGGTGCTCGTCACTACAGTCCAAAAGTCTCCGCCGCGTCACCTACTTTCTGTCCCCCCAGCAATCCATTTTCCTTCCAACCGCCCCAGAGCCCGTTATGGCTCAGAGCGTGTTAGAGCCCCAGAGACAGCTCGAATCAATCGCTACAAACCTTACACGACTTGCGGCAATTCCCAACATACCCGCCCTCGCCCACCATGTAACCAGGGTTCCGCTTACACTCGCCGCCCGCCGCCCCCCTCCCCCCCCTCCTCTCCTCTTAAAATTAACTGCATGAATCAATCGCTACAAACCTTACACGACTTGCGGCAATTCCCAACATACCCACCTTCTCCCACCATGTACCCAGGGTTCCGCTTACACTCGCCGCCCGCCGCCCACATGCCGCAGTTGGGGTGCTCGTCAGTACAGTCCAAAAGACTCCGCCGCGTCATGTACTTGAACATGTGCACCCACTTCTCCGCCGTCCACCTTGCTTCCAGCCTGCCGCCCATGCTGCCGCCCGCACTGCCGCCCGCACTGCCTGCATCAGTGCCGCCAGTGCTACCGCCCGCACTGCCGCCCGTACCAGCACTGCCATCATTCCCACTGCCGCCCCTCATTCCCCTAAAGAGCCCCCCCAAGCTTGTCCCCACAGTGGGTGTTGGGTGGGAGGGAGGGAGGAGAGGGCAGTCCTCCCGGTAGGCAGCGGGGTCGCTGTGTCCGTTGGGGGAGAGGTGGAAATAGAGCAACGCATTGCCCTTGCGCGGCCGCACTGAGTAGGGGGGAAGGGGGAAAAAGGAAGAGGGGGTTTGGCGTGGGGGGAGAGAGTAGGCGGCAGTCATTTGGTAGGCAGTGGGGTCGTTGTATCCGTTGGGGGAGAGGTGGAAATAGAGCAGCGCATTGCCCCCGCGTGGTTTTACTGGGGGAGATGTGATGGTGGGGGGAGGGGGGTGGAGGTTGGAGGAAGGAGGTTTGGAGACAGCAACAGAAAGGGCAGTCCTCCCGGTATGCCCTGGGGTCGGTGTGTCCGTTGGGAGAGAGGTGGAAGTAGAGCAGCGCATTGCCCTTGCGTGGCCTCACTGGGGGGAAGGGTGGGGGGGAGAGAGAGGTTGGGGGTGAGAACAACGGGTACAGCAGGGAATAAGCGTGCTTCTTCACAACCCAGCGATTGGGGCTAAGACAAGCGAGGCAAGCGGGGCATGGGCAAGGGGAGCATGGGCAATGGGAGCATGGGCAATGGGAGCATGGGCAAGGGGAGCATGGGCAAGGGGAGCATGGGCAAGGGGAGCATGGGCAAGGGGAGCATGGGCAAGGGGAGCATGGGCAAGGGGAGCATGGGCAAGGGGAGCATGGGCAAGGGGAGCATGGGCAAGGGGAGCATGGGCAATGGGAGCATGGGCAAGGGGAGCATGGGCAAGGGGAGCATGGGCAATGGGAGCATGGGCAAGGGGAGCATGGGCAATGGGAGCATGGGCAAGGGGAGCATGGGCAATGGGAGCATGGGCAACGGGAGCATGGGCAAGGGGAGCATGGGCAAGGGGAGCATGGGCAAGGTGAGCATGGGCAAGGGGAGCATGGGCAAGGGGAGCATGGGCAAGGGGAGCATGGGCAAGGGGAGCATGGGCAAGGGGAGCATGGGCAAGGGGAGCATGGGCAATGGGGGCATGGGCAATGGGGGCATGGGCAATGGGGGCATGGGCAATGGGGGCATGGGCAATGGGGGCATGGGCAATGGGGGCATGGGCAATGGGGGCATGGGCAATGGGGGCATGGGCAAGTCTGCTGGAAAAGGACTTAACATTCCATCCCACCACAAAGCCCAGCACAAAGGACTAGTCATTCCATTCCCCCCCTCCCCTCCTCCACCAGCACTGTGGCCTATATCTCAGGGGTGTGGGGGCGAGGGGAGAGGGAGGAGGAGTGCAGAGCGGTGCAATGCGCCTCACCAGCAATGCGGCCCTTAGCACAGTCTGAGACGGGCCCAAAGTCCTGCTCACGCCCCTCAACCCTTCCCCCCCTCACCTCATCCCCTAAACCCACCTACCCCCTCTCCTCACCAGCAATGCGGCCCTTAGCACAGTCTGAGACGGGCCCAAAGTCCTGCTCACGCTCAGGCTGACAGCGATGTACAAGGGGAGAGATGGAAGCGTACAGAGGAGGGAGAAGGAGCACAGAGAGGTGCAGAGGGGGTGAGATGGACACATGCTGGTAGAAGCATGAAGAGGTGGAGGAGAGGGCCGCAATGGGAGTATCGAATCCAGAATTGCAATGGGGGAGCACTGGAAAAAGAACCGAAATCGAAAAGGAGCGAATGGAAACGATGGTAGGAAAGCTCGGAAAAGAAGGAATGTGCTTATGGATCCGGGATCAAGAAGCGGTAATGGGTGGGGTTGTGCGTTGTTTCGAGGGAGGTGAAGGGAGCGAGGAGCAGGAGTGGGAGGGAGGGGGACGGCTGAAGGCATGGCTGGTGTATGACCAAGAATTGCTGACCAACCTTGCCGTTGGGGAAAGTGACTTCGCCGCCCCGCTCCACGTCAGAGAGGAAGAGGACGAGGGTTGCCACCCGATGCAGCACCTGCCAGTCCTCCTTGTGTTGGAAGTAGTCGTAATGCACGTCAAACTGCTGACCCGTGTTGTAGCGCATCAACTGAGGCTCTGTGGGTTCTGAGGGCGGAGGTGGGGTTGGGTAGGCGCAAGAAGCAGAGGGCAATGTGACGACGAGCAGCACCTGCCAGACCTTCGGTCCTCCTTGTGTTGGAAGTAGTCGTAATGCACGTCAAACTGCTGACCCGTGTTGTAGCGCATCAACTGAGGCTCTGTGGGTTCTGAGGGCGGAGGTGGGGTTGGGTGGGCGCAAGAAGCAGAGGGCAATGTGACGACGAGCAGTGACCGCCGGTCCTGTTGGTCCTCCTTGTGCTGGAAGTAGTCGTAATGCACGTCAAACTGCTGCCCTGTGTTGTACCGCATCAGCTGGGGCTCCATGGGCTCTGAGAGGGGAGGCGGGGCGAGTGCAAACAGTAGGGGATCGGGAAAGAGCAGTCACTGGCGGTCCTCCTTGTGCTGGAAGTAGTCATAGTGCACGTCAAACTGCTGCCCTGCGTTGTACCGCATTAGTTGAGGTTCGGTTGGCTCTGAGGTGGAAGGAATGGGGATAAGGAAGTGAAGCTGATGAGCCAAATGCAACATCTGCAGCACCTGGCGGTCCTCCTTGTGTTGGAAGTAGTCGTAGTGCACGTCAAACTGCTGCCCTGTGTTGTACCGCATCAGCTGAGGCTCCGTGGGTTCTGAGGAGATGGGGAGGGAAGAATTACAGAAAGCGAAGGTGGGCATGGCAGATAGACTAGTCATAATGCACATCGAACTGCTTGACCGTGCTGTAGCGCATCACCTGAGGTTCGGTTGGCTCTGAAGTGATGTAAGAAGCCAGGAAGGAGAAGAGAGATTGAACACATTCGCATAAAAAAACAAACTTTTGACAAGTGAAGGTTTGGCATGCTCGAAAGGGAAGGTCCGAGTAGCAAAAAAATGGAGCACTTTTCTTGGCTTACTGCGAGGGAGGAAGAGCCATGTCGAAATGCGGTCCTCAATAGCCCTCACCCGCTCGTCCTGGTGAGTGTGTCACGGGCAAGGGGTTGGGCGTGGGGGTGGGTGGGCATGAGGGTGGGCATGGGGTGAGTGTGAGCATGAGGGTCAGCATCGGGGTACCCATGGGAATGAATGTGAGAATCTAAATGACATGGGTGTTTGGTCTAGTGGCATGATTCTCGCTTAGGGTGCGAGAGGTCCCGAGTTCAATTCTCGGAACACCCCATTTTATGTGTCAGCCATTATAAAGGAATTGAAATCCACGAACCTGAAATCTACTGTACACCCTCACACGGCCTAACACTCTTTACCGCATCACGCCCGTCGTTGGGCATGGGCTGGGCATGGGGATTGGCATGGGTATGGGGATCGGCATAGGCATGGGGATTGCAGTGTTACACACAGGGTCGCTGGGCGCTGCTATATTGAGAATTTTCGAGTTTTGTTGAGTCAACTCAAAAGCTCGTAGGTGATGCAGGTGATTTTATAAGTTTCTCATCAACCACCTGAAGCCCATTCCTTCTTCACCTCCCTAAAGTTGTGTACTTTCTACTTTCTTCTAATTGACATCATCGCAACATATCACCCACTTGGTCTATTGACATCAACCCAATTGACATCAACGCACCGCACCGCACCGAACTGCACAACTCACCTGATATTTCCGGAGGAAGGTGCCGTTGGCTGGAGTGCCTGGGCGGAGCAGCTTGGGGTGGGACTGTGGTCAGCGGGGAGAGACGAGGGAGGGGAAGGGAGGGCGAGGGAGGGGGAGAGAGGGGGGGAGGAGGGGGATGGAGGCAGCGTGCATGGAGGATTTGTTTTGCCGTTGGCTGGCATGCCTGGGCGGAGTAGCTTGGGGTGGGACTGTGGTCAGCGGGGAGAAACACGGGAGGGGGGAGGGGAGGGGGAGGGAGGGGGAGGGAGGGGGAGGGAGGGGGAGGGAGGGGGGGGGAGGGGGAGGGAGGCAGCATGCAGGGAGGACTTGTTTCGGCAGTGACTTGCGTGGCTGGGCGGATCAGCTCGGGGTGGGACTGGGGGAGGTGGGGACAGGCGAGGACTGGGGGAGGGAGGGGGAGGGAAGGCAGCGTGCAGGAAGGAACTGTACGGAGGAAGGGGGGGGCGCATGGAAACGGGGGGGGATAGACTGCTGTGCGTGGGAGCATGGGATGGGTGAACGGGAGCATTGGAGCATGCGCGAATGGGAGCATGGGAGCATGGGTGCATGGGTGCATGGGTGCATGGGAGCATGGGTGCATGGGTGCATGGGTGCATGGTTGAACCAGTACCTCACGGGCAAATTAGTATGGTGCGGATGTGAGAGGGAGAAGAGGGGGGACTTTTGAGGCGTCTCAAAAGTGAATGGGAGCATGGTTGAATCAATACAATGCAGGCAAGAATAGCATCGCGCGGATGTGAGAAGGAGAAGAGTGGGGAGTGAAAGGGGCGACGTGACGGGGGCCGAGATGGGAGGGAGGGAGGCCATACCAGTGCGATGAGATGATTGCACTCCGCATGGGAGAGACAGAGAGAGAGTGTGCGTGAGGGAGAGAAAGAGGAGGGGCCGAGAGGGGAGGGAGGGAAGCCATACCAGTGCAATGAGGTGATCACACTCCGCATGGGAGAGACAAAGACTGAGTGTGTGTGAGGGAGAGAAAGGGGAGCGGACGAGAGGGGAGGGAGGGAAGCCATACCAGTGCAATGAGGTGATCACACTCCGCATGGGAGAGGAATCCGTGGTACACGAATGCCCTGTCGAGGGTGGGGAAGGGGGGAAGGAGTGGGGGGGAGGGAAAAGGTTGATTATAGAGTCTACTCAGTAATCAGCACAAGTGCGTTGAGGTGATCACACTCCGCATGGGAGAGGAATCCGTGGTACACAAACGCGCTGCTTGGGGGGTGGCGGAGGGGAGAGTGAGGGGAGGATGAGAGACGAAGGGAGAGAAAGTTGAATTGTGAATACAACTACTTACCAGGTGCAATGAGGTGATCACACTCCGCATGGGAGAGGAATCCATGGTACACGAACGCGCTGCCGGGGGTAGTGGAAGGGAGGGGAGAAGGGGACGCAATCGGCGGGGGAATGAGAGAAGAAGCGGAAGCTGTCGGAAGAAAGGAGAGGAATCTCAGATGCGATTACACTTGATGGCGGTGGGAAACGACCTACCCAGGCATACCGAGACTGCGAGGAGACCTGCACGACCCGAAATAGTCCACCTGCCACCCTTCCAATGCTGCTGCTCCAGAGATCGCTGGAAAGATCGAACTGACAAGCTGGCAGGGTCAACCTGACAACCTATCAAGAAGCCACCTACCGGGGCTGGGTGGAGATATGCACGACGCGGGAAGGGTCCACTTGCCACCCCGCCAACGCTGCTGCTCCAGAATAGTTCTGAGACGTCTCAATAAGCGACCTACCGAGGCTGGGTTGAAATTTGCACGACGCGGAACGGGTCAACCTGCCACCCCGCCGACGCTGCTGCTCCAGAGATCGCTGGAAAGATCGAACTGACAAGCTGGCAGGGTCAACCTGACAACCTATCACGAAGCCACCTACCGGGGCTGGATGGAGATCTGCACGACGCGGGAAGGATCCACCTGCCATCCCGCCGAAGCTGCTGCCCCATCCAACGCTGCCGAGCCTCTCAGCCGCGCATGCGCCACGTGTACCCGCTCGTATCCATGTCCGTCTACGGCGGCGCTCGATGCGTTTAGGAGGCAGAGGGAGATGCATAGAAGCAGGAGACTTGCGTTGACTGCGTTGATTGCAACAAGACTGGTTCGGGATGATCGGCGGCTTTGGAACATGCGAGTCTGGCTGGCCATGGTGGAATCAGATTAAAATACTTTGGGTGGCGTATTACTGTGGTTGTATCATGGTTCTGATGACGTCAACGACAGGTGGTGGTGATCAATGATAGGCCAACGCGACGGCCTGTGTACCACGCAGGGAGGACTTCCGGCTCATGCTTATAACATCACCAGGGTACGAAAAGTGGCATTCGAGACGCCTCAAAAGACGGCCTCGGTAACTCGCCAGGAGGACTTCATATTCATGTGCAACATCACCAGCGTACGAAAGTTAACGCACGGAACCGATTGGCAACGGCAGAATGGCGAGAATCTTCGTCCCTCCACTCCTGACGAAATCACCAGGCTCACGAGTCCACAAGCTTCTAGGACGTTACTAACACGCATGTATTCGAACCTCTTGGTGTTCAAGCAGTCAAATCCGCCAATCAACGGAGGGAGCCTAGCAGCAGCTGTCAGATGCGATAGGAATTTGGCTACGGTTTAGCAGCTGCTCCTCTATCTTGTTAATGGTTTTTCCCATACGGAATTGCATATACATTTAGACATGACAATAAGCACCAACCGTGGTATTCGGAGAAACAAATAATCAGGTATCAAAAAACACTTCTGTGAAGTTTTGAGTGAAACTAGCGTTACGCTACCCATATACGATAGAATGCTGTTATGATATCCTTGAGCAGTGTAAACGAATGTTGAACTGTGTAAGGGAGGCCATCATCGAGCTCGCAGTAACGAGTACGATGAGCGCACACGTCATACTGGTTTCCACTCACCGTATGCAGTGGACGGAGGGGACAAGTGAAGGGCACCATAAAAAAGGTTTCCACTCCTTTTCCTTGCGTAATTATGCTACATTGTAACAGCTAATAATGCTTTATACATATTATGTAGAAAAAAAAAAGGTTTGGTTACACCTTTCATCCCCGACAGAATTGACGTGAGAGCTTTTCTTTTTTCGGTAGCGAGATAAAACTGTCGTGAACACTTTGACTGGTATGGGTGCTGCTAAAACTTGAATCTCTGTGAGTAGAGCCAGAAGAGTTTCGTACTACCTCGGAACTGATTCGTCCGACCATTCCAGCCTTGCCGAATTGTGGTTGTTCCTAGATGTAGACTGCGGTGCCATGAAAAAAGACGGTATCTCACAACTTGTCAGACCACACAGTAGGTTCATTCGACCACGGTGAACCTTCTCAAGTTCAACCATTCTATAAACTATACGAGACGCTCTAGATCGCAATACAACGCACCTGACCTCTTCCGATTGAACTCTTGTGGGAGGTATGTTTCCGAGGTGCACTTCGTCGGAGAAACCATAGCAACACCCGACCCAGCAGAACTCCCTCCCACACATCTCCCATCACAACCCGGACAACGGCTATGAGCGGAGGAAATAGGAGCTTCAATCGTGTGCAGCTTCAATTAGCTTCAACCTCCAAGGCTGTTTGAGCGTGCAAACGAGCCGTGCTGCACAGGCGACCTGATAAGGTAACAGGTCTGTCTCTGCGTGCATTATCGCTCTGCACCGGAGCCATTAGGTCGAGCTGGACTGGCTAACCTGCTGGCACGGAGTGACCGACTGGACTGATCAGGAGGAGGTTGAGTGGGGACCATTGGAAAGCTGTAAATTAGGCTGGCTGAACGATAGATTACCTCTCAATCCCGTGCCATTCCAGAACGTGTTGTCTCTAGCTCTTTTTATTGATTAAAAAGTAAACACCTAAGAAGATCACCCTGCTTAAGCAGTCAGCTTGAACACTGTTTCGGCACGTGTGCTTCACACGCTACGCGACGCGACGCGACGCGACGAGTCGTCTCCTATCCCTGTCCGGAACACGTCAGCATGTCGAACTCCGCGCGATCGACGGCGCGGCTGGAGAAGCGGATGACGGACGCGTTAGCAGCGAGACACAAGACGGTGAAGAAGGTTCCGAAGAACTTCGACGCGTTCGTTCTCAAGTTCCCGCGGATCAACGCGGGGCTGGAGATACTCCGAGAAGTTTACGACAAGATTGGTAAGCATCGGGCGCATTAGAGGCAGCAAGCGCAGCAGGCGCGTGAGGGTTGAAGCATTCCGCTTTAGACGCGCCTCTCGACGCGTTCGTGCTCAAGTTCCCGCGGATCAACGCGGGGCTCGAGATACTCCGAGAAGTGTACGACAAAATCGGTAAGCGCATCAGGCGCGTTACGCGCATCAGTTGCAGAGAAATTGGCTTCAAAATGACGCCTCTCATTAGAAACGGCTTCGCATAGCTTCGCATGGCGTCGCGTGGTTTCGCAGTCATGTTTCGTCGAATCAACGCCTGTCTGGAGCTCTTAATGTAGGGAGGTGTAGAAGTCTGATGAGGCTGGTCAGTTTTGCGGGCATAAGCATCTGGCGATTGAAGCTGTGCTTGGTCGACCGTACGCTCTCTCGTTAGCTTGATCTACGGAATTTAATTTCCGCGATCCCTTCCTCTTATCGCGATTGGCTTCGTTGTTTGTTGGTTGCCTACTCACCTTCCGTCACCTTCCGTCACCTTCCGTCAACTTCTGTCACCTTCCGTCACCTTCCGCATCACCGTCATCACCTTCATCACCGTCTCTATCTCGCCGCCTTGCATTGCTTGTGCAGTTCCCGAGGGCAAAGAAGGCATGTCAATGGACGAGTTGAAGGCAGCTCTCGCCCAGCTGGAGGTGAGATGGCTTTAAGCACACCTATTGAGGGTACATTCCTGGACACATGAAGTGCCCGAGGGCAAAGAAGGCATGTCAATGGACGAGTTGAAGACAGCTCTTGCCCAGCTGGAGGTGCGCAGAACGTGATTAGAGTCAAACCTACCACACACCTCTGAGGAAATTCAAGAAATAAACATATGAGAACACTCAAAACACCTGTGGTACCCGAGGGTGGAAAGGGCATGTCCATGGACGAGTTGAAGGCCGCGCTCGTACAGCTGGAGGTGAGATGGCATTAAGCTCACCTATTGAGGGTACATTCCTGGGCGTGTGCAGCACCCGAGGGTGGAAAAGGCATGTCCATGGATGGACGAGTTGATGGCCGCACTCGCACAGCTGCAGGTACGTTCAGGCATAACGTGCAGAACTCCCACAGTTGTCAGATCGGTCAGAACTGGCAGAACTGTAAGGACGGTCAGAGCTGTTAGGTGTTCATTGTGTGTGAGGTGGTGTGTGAGGTGGTGTGTGAGATTGTTTTGTGTTTGAGCCTCAAGTCACTGTGCTTCATGTATGGCCCTGGCACGTAAAGAATGGCAGGTGACACCGTGAAAGCAACCAAAAGAGTGTATACACACCTTGAAACTGCAATGCATACGTTTCTGATTCTTCTTTTTCCCCTTTCACACCTTCATCTCTTTTTGCTGCCAATTACAGGTGACAGTGAGCAAAGAGGAGCTGAAGGCCATTTTCGCGCAGACGGAGTTGGACTCTTTGTACGGTGAAGGGTCGGACTCTGTTCCTTCCGTCTCAGTTTTCTGATATGAACTGACCCTCCTGTCTCTTTCCACTGCCAATCGCAGGTGACTGTGAGCGAAGAGGAGCTCAAGGCCATTTTCGCGCAGACGGAGTTGGACTCTTCGTATGGGGAAGGGTCGGACTCTGTTCCAGCAGAGGAGGACACCGTGGTGTGCTTCAATGCGTTCGTGCTCTGCCTGGGCATTGTGTTCCTGCTGGAGTCGGCTGACAGCGAGCAGGTGTGTGTGTGTGAGGGAGTGAGGTGGGTTGGTGAAGGGTCGGTCTCTGCTAGGAGGGGGAGGCCACAGTGGTGTGCTTCAATGCGTTCGTTCTGTTCCTGGGCATTGTGTTTCTGCTGGAGTCAGCAGACAGCGAGCAGGTGTGTGTGAGGGAGTGAGGGTGAGAGAGTCAGCCTCCGCTGCGGTGGAGGAAGAGGACGCAGTGGTGTGCTTCAATGCGTTCGTGCTGTGCCTGGGCATTGTGTTCCTGCTGGAGTCTACTGATAGCGAGCAGGTGTGTGTGAGGGAGTGAGTGAGTGAGTGAGTGAGTGAGGTTGGGTTGGAGATGGGGCAGGTCTCTTGTGTGCTTGTGCACATGTGTGCATATGTGTGCTTATGTGTGTGTGTGTATGCATGTGTGTACGAATGTACTGTACCATGGTCCATGTGTGTATGTGTGCATATGTGGGTGGGACGGGGCTATGTGTGGCTGTGTGCTTGCATGCAGACACTTTGTACGCATGCCAAATTAATGGTTGGTATGATGCTGATGAAAGAAATTCCATGTTTGTCGTGTGGGATTGTTTTTTAATCTTCTCGAAAATTGCCATGAATGTAGTACTACAAGGTAGTCGTGTGGTGAGGTGCTTCATACGTGGGTTTGTTCCGTACACCGACCGAGTGATTTCTTCTATTGTCACCTCCATTGTGATTCTTCCATACATTTTCACTCTCCAACCTACAAACCACTTCCGTTGAGCTCGACCTCACACTCTCTCCTCACTCTCTCCTCACTCTCTCCTCACTCTCTCTGCTATCTCCTTACCTCATGCTATTCCCTACCTCACACTACCTCTGTTCGCACTCTCGCGTACTTGACAGTGCCTTTTACCTTTCCCTTCCCATCCAACCAATCTTCTCCTAATAGCAGAAGCCACGCCTTGGCACAGGAGACATTAACGCAGCCTTTCAAATAATCGTAGATGCGTTTATTTATTTTGACGAGGACCATGACGGGCAGCTCACGCGGGCGGAGATTGAGAAGGGATTCAGCAGCCACAACACCCTCAAGGAGGGCACGCTGCTTCGCAACATCTCCAGGCGCATGCGTACGTTCTTGCTCAGACGTTGTGTCGTGTGTATGTTGGTTGTGGATTTTGTTTGTTTATTTGTATTGTTCTGTTTCCCCTGTGCGCTTCACTACTCAACAGTAAATGCGGACAAGGAATTGAATGTGTTTGTCCTTTTTTTTGCTTCTTGGTCGTCTTTTTTCAGAGGAAATGGATCGGGATTCCAACGGTGTGTGCACATTTGTGGAGTTTCTAAACGCCTTTGTTGGTTGGGTGAGGTCTCAGTATGCGGACACAGATGAGGATGCTTCTGCTGATGGAGATGCTTAACTAAGTGCTCAGCAATATACTTAGCTGTTCATTTGTGATGAGTATAAAGATGGTATGCATATTGTAGGATGGGGTGTATATGTTAAATTGCCATTCTGGATGGTACTTATAGCTGAGTCGAACAATACTGCTTGCTTCAAAGTAGTTTGTGTTATGAACAATTACTCGCATGTAGGATTTTGAAGGCATGTACGATTTTGAAGGATTTATGGAGCAGATACCGTAGTTTAGCACATTTAGTACATCTCATTCAAATAGTAGGGTGTACAAGCTAGGCTGGATAAAACAAGGTCCGTCCGATCGCGCTGTGTGGTTTCTCTTCTACTGTGTGCGGCTGGCCCATTTCCGCCCGCTTCCCCCTCCCCCCACCCCCTCAACCTCCGCGCGCCATCCCCCATCTTCCTTTCCTCCCCCGCCCCGTCTTCCTCCTCACCTCTCGCTGCCAATCCCGCCCAAACCCTAATTCATATTTCCTCCTCGCCGCTCACTCTCTCTCTTTCCTGCTCTTCCTTTCCTCGCCCCTCAGGAGCCGCATTTGCGCCGCGCCTGCCTCTCCCTGCCTTGCTTAGACAAGGAGCCACCTAGTCAAGATGGTCAGAATTAGCGTTCTTAACGATGCGCTCAAGAGCATGTACAACGCGGAGAAGCGCGGGAAGCGGCAGGTGCTCATCCGCCCCAGCTCCAAGGTCATCATCAAGTTCCTCACCGTCATGCAGCGACACGGTGCGTGCGTGCGTAGATTCTAGCGCGTGCGTGTGCGTGCGTGAGAATGCGTGTGCGTGCTTGCTCGCATGTCTTGGCCGAGGTTTTCATCGGGACAGGTTCTCTGATGCAGCTCCAAGGTCATCATCAAGTTCCTCACCGTCATGCAGCGACACGGTGCGTGCGTGCGCGTGTGCATTCGTGCGTGCCTGCGTTCGCGTGTGCGTGTTCGTGCGTGCGTGTGGGTGCGTGTTGCTTCGCTGAAATTCGTCATGGAGCGACACGGTGCGCGCGATTGCTCGTGTTTTTCTGTGATATCCTCGTCGAGGTGCTGCGATTGTCGTGCCACCTTCCTCGTTTAACCTCCCGTCTTGTCTCCTCGTCTCCCACTACTCATGGTCGATTCCCTTCATCAAGCCTTTACACCTACCGATCCAGCAATGGCCTGTTGCGCAACGTCAATGTTTGTTTGAGCTAGGCTTTTCCCATCGCTCCTGGGCGAGCGAGGAGCGAGGAGCAAGGCATTGTAGGCAGTCGTTCCTCGAGACAGCATCAGTCGTCCCTCCCTCGTTCCCGGCGGGCGTGACCATCTCCGTTAGGCATTGAGCCGGCTAGCTTGCGCGGTTCACGGTAACGAGGAGATTTTATCGAAGCAGTCCCACCCAAGGCAGGGAATCAGATTCCTCATAAACAGCAGACTAGTAACGCGATTTGTCGGAAAGGAAGCGGCTCTTCGTACAAACCAGGGTAAACAGCGATAGCCCGCTGTACTAAGCAGATTGTTGAGGCCCAAGTCTTTATAGCCCGTTGTACCGAGGCGATCAAGGACAGCCGATCAGGGCCGTTGCACGTCCATCCAGCAGTGTGGACACAATTTCGTTCGTTCCTTTCCTCTAAAGTACCCGTTCGATAGGCTCTTATGTTCTTATTCGAGGGATTGGCTTGGTAGGGTAGGTTGATCACGCCTGCTAGACAGTATCTGTATGTCCCGTAGCTAGTCACGCGCAAATATCGCCGTGCGAGATGCTGGATGCCTCGACCATGTCGATCATTCTTCAAAGCTTCGCGCTCTCGGTTCCAAAACCTCGTCACTTTGTTTTACAGGACCAGGCCTGGTTAGGAACCAGACTTGGTTAAATTCTTTGTTACATTTCTGGCAAGCAGATGGGGAGATGGTGTTACTGAAGCCTGTGGTGCTTAATCCCACTCTCGTGCGTCTGGTTACACAGTACCCAAATTCTTATTTTCTTTGCCTTCCTTGTGCATCTTGTCCCCTTGTCTCCGAATGCTGGTTACCAGGTTACATCGGCGAGTTCGAGCTGGTGGACGACAGGCGGGCGGGCAAGATTGTCGTGGAGCTGAACGGGCGGCTGAACAAGTGCGGCGTGATCAGCCCGCGTTACGATATCGCTGTCGGTGATATCGAGAACTGGACCGAGCGCCTGCTGCCCTCCCGTCAGGTATGTAGTGTAACTTGAGGGAGGTAGTGTAACAAGTGGGTACACTAGTGGGTGAGGGAGGTGCCGTGGGGGGTGAGGGGATATCGCTGTCGGCGATATCGAGAACTGGACCGAGCGCCTGCTGCCCTCCAGTCAGGTAGGTCGTGTAACTTGAGGGAGGTAGTGTAGAGTGTGCTAGGTAGTATGAACATTTGTGGGGAAAGGGGGAAGTGGGAAGGGAAAAGGGGGAAGAGGGAGGGGAGGTGGGGGGGATGAACAATCTCGTGTGGGTCTCACCCAGGAATGGGGGATTGTGCGTAGTGCAAGCAGCGCGTCAAGCGTTTCTCGTGCTGTTGGCGAGAGAAGATGCAACTGAAGAAGGTTCCTTTTTTGCAGTACTTTTTTTTTTGGGAAGAGAGGGGTGGGAAGGAGGCGGGTGGGGAGGGTAGGAGGGGTAACAGATGGAGAGGGTCTGGATGGGGATGTGAAACACAACCGGATTTCAATGGGTATTCAGCATTGCTGACTTGGAGCAGGTTGGGAGTTTCAGCTTGAATGTCATGGTTTCCTAGTTCCTGTTTTATGCCTGCTGTTTCTTCCTTTTTCATTGTCGTTTGTTTCTTAAGCCGTCGTTTCCCCTGTGTTTCTGGTTTTTTTTTCCCGTGTTACCAGTTTGGTTACATTGTGCTCACCACATCTAGCGGCATCATGGACCACGATGAGGCAAGGCGGAAGAACGTGGGAGGCAAGGTGCTCGGCTTCTTCTACTAAGCTGAAAATGGCTCCATCTGATCATGAGATGCTGGCAATCTATGATGCTGAAGCAGGGTGTGACTGGCACCATTTAGCCAGCTAGCCAGCAGCCCTGCCCTGCCTTGTCACCGTTATCACCCAGTTGGCTCTGCCTAGCTTTTTGTTTGCCATGCATGGTCCCTTATATTCCAAGTGGACGTGTAAAGCTCACAGCAAAGCATAATCTCAATGGCTGGTGGTCTTGCGGACATTGGCTGTGGAACCTGCCTGTAGCGAGAACACCGCCAGTTCTGGTCACCCTGACGTCACCTTCTAAATTCTCGAAACTTTCGAGCTGTCAGCATCTTGCGTTGCTTCGTTTTGCTGGTACTTTTCGCGCGCTCGGATTGCTCAACCATTGGCTGTCGCCTAGACCCTGCGAGATCTTGCTTTGCTCTCGTCAGTGAAGGGGTGCATAGTGTGGTGACCACGAGGATTAGTTTTCACGTCAAAATTCACGGTTTCGCCTGGTCTGTTGCGTTCGAAAGCGGTAATGAGTATTCTCTTGGTGCACTTCACTTCGGGCAACACAGCAGCCTGGGCCTTCGTTTTTGTTGCGCCTTTTGAGAGGCTGTGAGAATCGGAGACCGCTGAATCTGTGTCAAAGCTGAGAGCAGATTGACCTGGTCACAGTCGAATCTGACGCGCTAACAGAAGCCATCTGACAATCGTCGCGTCACAATTAGGGCTGAAAATAGATTCGCCAATTGTGTCAACGTCGCGACCAACATTGACTCGTGTTGTGACGTGCCACAGAAGCCATTCGAGTGTCGCAGGCGTTATCGAATCGACTTTCAGGGAACGATGGATGCGAGCGTAAGTGGCGGGAGGGGGAAGCGCGGCGCGAAGAAGAAAGGCGGGAAGGAGAAAGTGAAGAAGGAGCTGAAAGGGGTGATGAAGGCGGTGATTCGCGAAGGATCGGGATCGCCAGTGGAGGAAGGTTACCAGGTATCGTTGGCAAGTGATTCGCAAAGATTAGCACCGGCGGTGAGGGGATTTCATGTAAGGTCACGTATGGTCACGTAAGATGAGGAAACAGCTGGCGGGAGTGGTGAAGGCGGTATTCCTGTTGAAAAGCCTCAAGGTCGGGAGTGGTGAAAACAGCGATTTGCGATGAAAGCAGTGTTCTGCGAGGGATCAGGACGATCCGTGAAGGGAGTACAGCTTTGAAGTTGGTAGCCTATGGATGCAAATTAGGAGGTGAGGTGATTTGTTACTGACAGGAATGGTTCTGGAGGGAGAAGATCGGGTGATTAGCAAAGGATGAGTGTTGTGATGGCAGGAAACAGGTATCTCCCCTACCATCTCTCACCATCCCTCGCCGTCGCTCACCTATCCTAACCATCCGTTATCTCCCTTTCGGGTGTCCACGCACAACTCACCATGCTTATGCTCTCCGACCCATACCCACTCGTTCTGGACATCACTGGTCCCCCCACTCCCTCATCCCCTCACCAGCCTCACCACCCTCTCGTCCCATCACCACCCGTCTTGACCTGATCATCAATTTGCATGAGCTTTTGTTTCTCATCCACTTTTAGTGCCTGCAATTTTGTCCCCCTTACCCGCCCCACACCCCCCACCCCTTGTGCCTTCTCCTCCCACCAGGTGGTTTTCCACTGCACCACTCGCGCAGCTTCGGGCCACATATGTGACTCCACCCGAGCCGAACACGGAGGTATGGGATGGAGTGTGAGGTATGGCAGTGTGACGTATGGCTAGGGTTGTGAGGCATCGCACGGTATGAGGTTTGGAATGGGGTGTGAAGTTTGGCATGGGGTGTGAGGTTTGGCATGGGGTGTGAATGAGGCATGGCATGCCGTTTGAGGTATGGCATGTTGTGAGTACCTACGAGAACCTACGCCCGTCTTTGCCTAGTTACACCCATCAATTCCCTTACAAGCAAAAACCCCTGGATCATCTGAGCAGGGTTGGGGCGGCCGCGGCGAGTGGTGGTGGGGGAGAGCCGGCTGGTGGCAGCACTGGAGCACGGGCTGTGCACCATGCGCGAGGGCGAGGTGGCCGTGGTAAGCTTGCTGAGTCCCCTGTAGTGTCGAGCTGGTGGCAGTGGTGAGAGCAAGCATGCGGGAGAGGAGAGCCGGCTGGGTTAGGCAGCACTGGAGCATGGGCTGTGCACCATGCGCGAGCGAGGGAGAGGTGGCCGTGGTGGCATTCCTTAATCCCTTGACTTCCTCTCCCTCCTCCCGAATCATCTCCTGTCCTGCCCCATCATCCCCGGGTCCCTCACTCACCTGCAGTTCAAAGCAGAGCCCTCAGCCCACTACAGCGACCCTGCCTGCCAGATGAAGCCTCCCCCAGGCGTACCTGCGGATGAGGAGCTCCAGCTGGAGGTGGAGGTGGTATCTGCCGCTGCTGTGTGGGTGCTGGCAGGGAAGCGAGAGGGGAAGAAGGCGGGTGGTGCGGAGGGAGTGGGGGAGGAGGGAGGGGATGAGGAGAAGGAAGAGGAGGATGGAGTCTGTGGGTATGAGGAAGACGAACGGTTTATCACGAAACAGGTGGGTATGAGTTGAAGGGTAAGAGCCTCAAGGCGAAGGAAAATGAGTGAGAAATGCGGTTTTCAGTTCAGAGGAAGTGCGAGGTGGGAGTGTTGCGACCAATTGAAAGGCGTGGAAGAATAAAAAGGCAGCGCGTTGCTGTCTGTTGAGGGAGTGAAAGACTTCACCTCTCATCATGTTGAGGCAGTGTTACTTCTTGTTGACAGGCTTCCTGTCAGTGACATGACGTCATCATGTGATTGTGTGGCTTCGACCCAAGTCCCTGTGATCCGTGACTGCCTCACACACATGCATGCCCCCCTGTGGTATTTGACTGTTTCAGACGGTTGAAGAGGGCAGAGGGTGGGAGCAGCCGAGGCCGCCTTATGAAGTCAAGATACGGTACCGTCCTGCCTTGCCCTGCCCGCTCAAGTCTCATTCGTTGTGCTTGTGCAAGTGCGTGTGCATGCATGCATAGCACACTCTCACATCTCCATGCCGTCTGGGTTCTGCACCATCTGCCCCATGCACACCATCTCCCCTGCCTGGCAGGCTCGAAGCCCGCCCTCTGGGCTCCTCAACTCCCTTCTATGCGGCTGGAACAGGCTCCTAACCCCTTTCTCTGCATGTGCATGCATGCGCGCACGCTCACACATCTTCATACCATCTTCCCTGTGTGCACCATCTCCCCTTTCTGCCAGGCTGGAAGCCCGCCCTCTGGGCTCCTTAACGCCCTTCTATGCGGCAGGAACGGGCTCCTCTCCCCCCCTGCACCTCGCCCTGGGCTCAGCACGGGTGAGTCAGGAGGGAGGGGGAGAGTGGTTGTTTTTTGCCCTGCCCGATCCTCCCTTTGCTCCCTCTCTTCCCACTCAGCCTGCCCCTTCTTTTCCTACTTCCTACCTCCCAAACTTAGCCCCCCTTGTTCCTTTCCCTTCCCCCCCCCATGCGGTATTCCTCCCTTTGTTTCCATTGTCTGCCCCAGCTCCCCCCAGCACTCGATCGAGCTAGCTGGGGAAAAGGCCGCCATCTTCGTCTCCTTCCCCCCACACACCGTATGCCGTATATGCCTCACCTGCTCATCGTTCCCTATGCTTTTCCTTTGCCCTCTGCTCCCTTTGTTTCCCTTTCCCCAGCTCCCCCCAGCACTGGATCTGGCCCTCTCCCACATGCTCACAGGGGAAAAAGCAGTTGTCTTTGCCTCCTCCCTTCACACCATCCCGCCTCCCCCCGACACCCCTCTTCCGCCACCTCCTCCTGCCACTGCCCCTCTTCCGGGTGCTGCCGAGCCTGAGGCTCGAACTGCCGAAGCTGAGGCGGGGAATGCCGAGGCTGGGAGGCTCGGGCTGGCTGCTCCGGTTGTTGTGGTGCCGGCGCCGCCAGAGGGGGTGGTGGATGTGCAGTATCATGTGCAGCTGGTGAAGATTGTTCAGGTGGGGGCAGGGGGAGGGGTGAAACGATGGTTCAGGTGAGAAGAGGGTTATGATGGATGAGTGCGCTCACACGTCAGCTGCACCAGAGGGGGTGGTGGACGTGGAGTTTCGTGTGCAGCTGGTGAAGATCGTGCAGGTGGGGGCAGGGGGAGGGGTGAAACGATGGTTATGATGGATGAGTGCATTCACACGTCAGCTGCGCCAGAGGGGGTGGTGTACTTGGAGTATCATATGCAGCTGGTGAAGATCGTGCAGGTGGGGATGCTGTTATGTTACGATGTGGTTGTGATGATGTAGATGGGGGAACTTTAGTGAGTTGACTCAAGAGTTCAGTGCTACCAGAGGGCGTGGTGGATGTGGAGTATCACGTGCAGCTGGTGAAGATTGTGCAGGTGGGGGTGCTGTTATGTTACGGTGTGATTCTGATGATGAGCTGGGGGAGTTTAGTGAGTTGACTCAAGAGTCCAGTGCTACCAGAGGGCGTGGTGGATGTGGAGTATCATGTGCAGCTGGTGAAGATCATGAAAGTAAGGGGATTTTGTGTGGTGTGAATTGCCACCTATGCTGGATTGTCTTCTGATGATTTTTAACACAATTTTAACACATATTGTTCTCCCGTGTATGGTTTGTTTGTACGTGTTGAGGGGATGCGCATTACACTACCACGCCTGCGAAATATGGCTTGTTTCATGTGTCTCTGCACGTCTCATGCTTGTTTGCGCGTGTGTGTGCATGGGTGGCACTGTGTGTGTGTGCGTGCGTGCGTGCGTGCGTGCGTGCGTGCGTGCGTGCGTGCGTGCGTGCGTGCGTGCGTGCGTGCGTGCGTGCGTGCGTGCGTGCGTGCGTGCGTGCGTGCGTGCGTGCGTGCGTGCGTGCGTGCGGGCGTGCGTGCGTGCGGGCGGGCGTGCGTGCGTGCGGGCGGGCGTGCGTGCGTGCGTGCGTGCGTGCGTGCGTGTGCGTGCGTGCGTGCGTGCGTGCGTGCGTGTGTGTGTGTGTGTGTGTGCATGCATGCAGGTGCGAGACGTGCTGGGCAATGGGTGTGTGATCAAGAGAAGGCTTCAAGATGGGACAGGTGAGGCTGAAGCCCTCGTAGACGACTTTTGAGACGTCTCAAAAAGCTGAACCATTAACTTTACCAGTAACATTACCATTACCATTAACATTGTCATTACCATTACCATTACCACTACCACTACCATTACCATTACCATTACCACTACCATTACCATTACCATTACCATTACCACTACCACTACCATTACCATTACCATTACCATTACTATTACCATTACCATTACCATTACCATTACCATTACTGTTCTCTGCTCACTGCTCCTCCCTTCCAGGCGACTTCCCAATGGACTGCCCACTTCAGGACTGTGTGGTAGCCATGCACATGCAATCACCCCTTCCTATCCCTCCCTCCCTACCTCTGACCCCGCGCTGTATGCCCACATCCTTACAGGCCACTTCCCCACGGACTGTCCGCCGCAGGACTGTGTGGTGCACGTGCACATGTCTCCATCTGTCCCTGCTATCCTCCCACCCAACGCCCCTCCGCTCATCCCTCCACAGGCGACTTCCCCATGGATTGTCCACTGCAGGACTGTGTGTTGTTCACTTGCACGGCACGCTGCCCGACCCTAACCACCCTTCCCACGCCCCACACCCCACGGTCCCTGCTCCCATCTTTCTCCAGGCGACTTCCCCATGGATTGTCCACTGCAAGACTGTGTGGTGCACGTGCACATACGCGGCACCCTGCCGGACCAGGGGGGTGCTAAGTTCATGGACACACGGAAAGGGGAGGAGGGGACAGTGGAGGGGGAGCCTCTTCAGATCGGCACTGGGGAAGGCAGGGTATGTTGGTGAGGTGGGGGGTGGGGGGGCAGGGTGACTGTGTGGTGCGTTTTGAGTCGACTCAAAACTCACCAGGGCAGGGTGAGTGTGTGGTGCAGGTGCACATGCGGGGCACCCTGCCAGACCACGGGGGGATGGAATTCATGGACACACGGAAAGGCGAGGAGGGCGAGGGGCAACCAGTGCAGATCGGCACAGGGGAGGGGCGGGTGAGTGGGAGGGGAGGAGGGTGGGAGGGGAGGAAGGGTGGGAGGGGAGGAAGGGTGGGGGGAGGAAGGGTGGGAGGGGAGGAGGGGGGAGGAAGGGTGGGAGGGAGGAAGGGTGGGAGGGGAGGAAGGGTGGGAGGGGAGGAAGGGTGGGAGGGGAGGAAGGGTGGGAGGGGAGGAAGGGTGGGAGGGGAGGAAGGGTGGGAGGGGAGGAAGGGTGGGAGGGGAGGAAGGGTGGGAGGGGAGGAAGGGTGGGAGGGGAGGAAGGGTGGGAGGGGAGGAAGGGTGGGAGGGGAGGAAGGGTGGGAGGGGAGGAAGGGTGGGAGGGGAGGAAGGGTGGGAGGGGAGGAAGGGTGGGAGGGGAGGAAGGGTGGGAGGGGAGGAAGGGTGGGAGGGGAGGAAGGGTGGGAGGGGAGGAAGGGTGGGAGGGGAGGAAGGGTGGGAGGGGAGGAAGGGTGGGAGGGGAGGAAGGGTGGGAGGGGAGGAAGGGTGGGAGGGGAGGAAGGGTGGGAGGGGAGGAAGGGTGGGAGGGGAGGAAGGGTGGGAGGGGAGGAAGGGTGGGAGGGGAGGAAGGGTGGGAGGGGAGGAAGGGTGGGAGGGGAGGAAGGGTGGGAGGGGAGGAAGGGTGGGAGGGGAGGAAGGGTGGGAGGGGAGGAAGGGTGGGAGGGGAGGAAGGGTGGGAGGGGAGGAAGGGTGGGAGGGGAGGAAGGGTGGGAGGGGAGGAAGGGTGGGAGGGGAGGAAGGGTGGGAGGGGAGGAAGGGTGGGAGGGGAGGAAGGGTGGGAGGGGAGGAAGGGTGGGAGGGGAGGAAGGGTGGGAGGGGAGGAAGGGTGGGAGGGGAGGAAGGGTGGGAGGGGAGGAAGGGTGGGAGGGGAGGAAGGGTGGGAGGGGAGGAAGGGTGGGAGGGGAGGAAGGGTGGGAGGGGAGGAAGGGTGGGAGGGGAGGAAGGGTGGGAGGGGAGGAAGGGTGGGAGGGGAGGAAGGGTGGGAGGGGAGGAAGGGTGGGAGGGGAGGAAGGGTGGGAGGGCAGAGTGAGTCGAACGGCAGGGCTTGTGGAAAGGCAGCAGAGAAATCAGTTTACCACCTTCAAGCCTTCCTAAGGCCCAGGCTTCCCTGCGAGCATGAAAGGGATGTGTTGAGGAGCGTGAAAGAAGGAGCGTGAAAGAAGGAGCATAAAAGGAAGCAATCCTTCTTTTACGCTCCTCAACACATCCCTTTCGTGCTCCCCCTCTGCCTTTCCCAAGCCTTCCCGCTGCCTTGTCTTGCCCGAGGCCAGCATTCTTTCAACGAACCTCAAAGCCCTTCTGCCTCACGCTACACCTCCTGCTCTCTCCTGCCCTCCTTCCCCCTCTCTCCAGCTCTCCCATACCCTACTCCCCTTCCTCTCACTCTCTCCTGCCCTCCTTCCCACTCCCTCCCGCTCTCCCATACCCTACTCTCCCACCCCCCCTCTCTCTCATGCCCTTCTTCCCTCGCCCTCCCGCTCTCCATGCCACTCCCTCACCGCCAGCTGCCAGAGGCTTTGGAGGCGAGCATTCGCCTGATGCTGCCGGGAGAGGTGGCTCTGGTCTCCAGCTTGCTGGATTCGACTCAAACGTATCTCCCTCCCCTCCGTCTGATTCTATCCCCCCCCCCTTCCCACGCCAGCTGCCAGAGGCTTTGGAGGCGAGCATTCGCCTGATGCTTCCGGGAGAGGTGGCTCTGGTCTCCAGCACGGCGCAATACGCCTATGACTCCTTCCCCAGGTGAGGGGGCTTGTGGCTTGCATGGGAGCATTGCACAGCGCAACACACCTTGCCGTATCACTCGCTTGCTGCCAAGAGAGGTGGCCCTCGTCTCCAGCACATCGCAATACGCCTATGACTCCTTCCCCAGGTGAGAATATACCGGAGTCTAGCCCCAGGCAGGCAGGGCAGCAGTTGGCATGCACTGCGCAATATGCCTATGACTCCTTCCCCAGGTGCGGTGTGTTGGCAGGTACTTGTCTTGTGGTGACTGCTCTGCCGGAATGCACCCCTCTGTTCATGCCAAGCCATCCCATGTCACGCCATGCAACGCCATGCACTATCTCATGCCATCCCATGCCATCCCATGCCATCCCATGCCCTGCCATGCCACTCCATGTTTCCCCCTGTCAGGCCAGAGGGGGTACCGGAGGGTGCAAGGGTGCAGTGGGAGGTGGAGCTGTTTGGCTTCGAACGCCCCAAGGTGAGTGCCATTTCACTCGCATCGTTGCTCGTTGGTCGCTGGTTCTTGATGCTCACACACGAAGGGGGAGAGTGGCCTCTCTTTGGTACCGGAGGGTGCGAGGGTGCAGTGGGAGGTGGAGCTGTTGGCTTCCAGCGGCCCAATGTGAGTCAACATATCTGGAGAATCTGCTAAATCCTAAAAGAACCAAAGTGAGAGTTTTTCTTCTCGCATTCGAGCTCTCCGTTCCCCTCTTTCCTTCCTTTTCCCCTTTCTTCTCTGTCCTCGTCTCTTCCTTCTTTCCCTTCCTCCCCTTCCCGTTTCCTCCTCGTCCCCCTCACTCTCTCCTCTCTCTTCTCCCCACTCCCTCCCACCTCTGTGGCTGTGAGGGCAGGGCTGGGAGGGACTGTCATTTGAACAGATTCTTGCTGTAGTCTCCTGTGTCCCTCTCCTTAACCTTAAACCTCAAAATTTTCAACCCTGATCCTCATCCCCCATGGCTGTGTTGTGAGGGCAGGGCTGGGAGGGACTGTCATTTGAAGAGATTCTCACTGAAATCGACAAAACCAAGCAGCTGGTATGGGTTGCGACTGGGCTTAGGGTTGACTTCAGGGTTCACTTCAAAGTTCACTCTAAGGTTCACTTCAGGGTTCACTTCAAAGTTCACTCAAAGGTTCACTTCAGGGTTCACTTTAGGGTTCAATCCCATCCCATCCCATCCCATCCCATCCCATCCCATCCCATCCCATCCCATCCCATCCCATCCCATCCCATCCCATCCCATCCCATCCCATCTCATCCTATCCCACCGCATCCCATCCCATCCCATCCCATCCCATCCCATCCTATCCCATCCCATCCCATCCCATCCCATCCTATCCCATCCCATCCTATCCCACTGCATCCCACCTCACTGCCTGCAGGGGAACACGCTGTACAAGGAGAGGAAGTACAGCCACGCGTGCAGCAAGTATGAAAGGGTGAGGCGCTGCTGTTGGCTGTTGCGCTGCTGTGCACCGAACCGCTCTCTTTTCTTGGCGTCTCGGAAAGTCACTCCTAAGTTTTGTGGCTGATGCTGCTGGCTCTTTTGAATCTGCTGGGGAGCCGCATTGCACCGCCTTTCACCGCTCTCCACCCCTGTGTACCACTCTTTTGTTGAGCAGGTGCTGCGGGAGATGCGGCATTTGCACCCCAAGGAGGGCGAGGAGGCAAAGCAATTCAACTCCGTTCAGGTGAAGAGGGGGGCAAGGTGAGGAGAGGGGGGGAGAGCGTGGAGCAGGTGGGGTTGGTGAAGGGGGAGAGGTGCACGTGCGTCCCAAGGAGGGCGAGGAGGCAAAGCAATTCAACTCCGTGCAGGTGATGAGGGGGGGAGAAGGTGAGGAGAGGGGGTGGAGAGCGTGGAGCAGGTGGGGTTGGTGAGGGGCGGAAGGGGCACGTGTATCCCAAGGAGAGCGAGAAGGCGAAGCAGTTCAATTCTGTGCAGGTGATGTGATCGGGGGGAGAGTGGGAGGATTGGCGGGCAGAAAGGCACTTTCTTACCTGTTTGCTGCGGGAGATGAGGCACGTGCATCCCAAGGAGGGCGAGAAGCCAAAGCAGTTCGACTCCGTGCAGGTGAGATGGGAATGGATGGGGGGAGACAGTGAACTGAAGTGAAGGGAAAGGATGTGGGGCCAGCTGAAGGGGAGCAGGTGAGGGGTAGGCAGTCTGGGGCAGGTCACATGAGGGAGCGGCGAGGCTTCTAGTGCAGCACTGTCAATGCACTGAACGCATGGGGATGTGCCACCGGTTCTATTTGTGCGTGGCGGCGTGGACACTGGACTGTTCCTTATGCTAAACCGTTCGCTCTGCTCCCTTCCCTTGATATACTCCTGATACCTGCTCTCTCCCTTTCCCCAACCATGTCATCATGCCTTATTTGCTGATGCCACTTCCCTGCAGACCGCTCTGCAGCTCAACGTGGCAGCATGTCAGCATGGCATGGGGGAGTATGCACGGGCTATAGAGTGGTCGGACAAGGTGAGTGGGCGGTGAGTGGGTTACCATCGCTGTAGTTGGAGGGAAGTGATGGTATTCGCATGTCAGCTACGCTCTCTCTCTCCTTCCCTACTCTGCTTGCGCTCCAAGGTGCTCTAGTTGTGAGGCAAGCCCCTCAAACATCTCCTTGCGCAGATGCTTCCTCACGCTTGGGGGTGCCTTTTCTGTGCCCTGCCCCCTCCTCCTCCCAGGCGCACACAGAGAACCCAGCTTCTTCAAGGCGCTCTACCGGAGAGTGTTGACTAGCATGCACTCTGCTGCCACTCATACCTGTGTCCTCTTCGTCCCAGGTGCTCACAGTGCAGCCAGCCACTCCAAGGCGCCCTACAAGAGAGCCTATCTTTGAGTCGACTCAAAGACACGCCCTTGTTGCTCCCAGGTGCTAACAGAGCAACCCAACCACTCCAAGGCGATGTCCCGGAGATCGTTGGCACGCATGGACCCTGCTGCACTTCATGCCTGTCCTCCTCGCCCACTCTCCTTGCTCACTCCTCTTCGTCCCAGGTGCTCACTCCTCTTCGTCCCAGGTGCTCACTCCTCTTCGTCCCAGGTGCTCACCCCTCTTCGTCCCAGGTGCTCACCCCTCTTCGTCCCAGGTGCTCACCCCTCTTCGTCCCAGGTGCTCACCCCTCTTCGTCCCAGGTGCTCACCCCTCTTCGTCCCAGGTGCTCACCCCTCTTCGTCCCAGGTGCTCACCCCTCTTCGTCCCAGGTGCTCACCCCTCTTCGTCCCAGGTGCTCACCCCTCTTCGTCCCAGGTGCTCACCCCTCTTCGTCCCAGGTGCTCACCCCTCTTCGTCCCAGGTGCTCACCCCTCTTCGTCCCAGGTGCTCACCCCTCTTCGTCCCAGGTGCTCACCCCTCTTCGTCCCAGGTGCTCACCCCTCTTCGTCCCAGGTGCTCACCCCTCTTCGTCCCAGGTGCTCACTCCTCTTCGTCCCAGGTGCTCACCCCTCTTCGTCCCAGGTGCTCACCCCTCTTCGTCCCAGGTGCTCACCCCTCTTCGTCCCAGGTGCTCACCCCTCTTCGTCCCAGGTGCTCACCCCTCTTCGTCCCAGGTGCTCACCCCTCTTCGTCCCAGGTGCTCACCCCTCTTCGTCCCAGGTGCTCACCCCTCTTCGTCCCAGGTGCTCACCCCTCTTCGTCCCAGGTGCTCACCCCTCTTCGTCCCAGGTGCTCACCCCTCTTCGTCCCAGGTGCTCACCCCTCTTCGTCCCAGGTGCTCACCCCTCTTCGTCCCAGGTGCTCACCCCTCTTCGTCCCAGGTGCTCACCCCTCTTCGTCCCAGGTGCTCACCCCTCTTCGTCCCAGGTGCTCACCCCTCTTCGTCCCAGGTGCTCACCCCTCTTCGTCCCAGGTGCTCACCCCTCTTCGTCCCAGGTGCTCACCCCTCTTCGTCCCAGGTGCTCACCCCTCTTCGTCCCAGGTGCTCACCCCTCTTCGTCCCAGGTGCTCACCCCTCTTCGTCCCAGGTGCTCACCCCTCTTCGTCCCAGGTGCTCACCCCTCTTCGTCCCAGGTGCTCACCCCTCTTCGTCCCAGGTGCTCACCCCTCTTCGTCCCAGGTGCTCACCCCTCTTCGTCCCAGGTGCTCACCCCTCTTCGTCCCAGGTGCTCACCCCTCTTCGTCCCAGGTGCTCACCCCTCTTCGTCCCAGGTGCTCACTCCTCTTCGTCCCAGGTGCTCACCCCTCTTCGTCCCAGGTGCTCACCCCTCTTCGTCCCAGGTGCTCACCCCTCTTCGTCCCAGGTGCTCACCCCTCTTCGTCCCAGGTGCTCACCCCTCTTCGTCCCAGGTGCTCACCCCTCTTCGTCCCAGGTGCTCACCCCTCTTCGTCCCAGGTGCTCACCCCTCTTCGTCCCAGGTGCTCACCCCTCTTCGTCCCAGGTGCTCACCCCTCTTCGTCCCAGGTGCTCACCCCTCTTCGTCCCAGGTGCTCACCCCTCTTCGTCCCAGGTGCTCACCCCTCTTCGTCCCAGGTGCTCACCCCTCTTCGTCCCAGGTGCTCACCCCTCTTCGTCCCAGGTGCTCACCCCTCTTCGTCCCAGGTGCTCACCCCTCTTCGTCCCAGGTGCTCACCCCTCTTCGTCCCAGGTGCTCACCCCTCTTCGTCCCAGGTGCTCACCCCTCTTCGTCCCAGGTGCTCACCCCTCTTCGTCCCAGGTGCTCACCCCTCTTCGTCCCAGGTGCTCACCCCTCTTCGTCCCAGGTGCTCACCCCTCTTCGTCCCAGGTGCTCACCCCTCTTCGTCCCAGGTGCTCACCCCTCTTCGTCCCAGGTGCTCACCCCTCTTCATCCCAGGTGCTCACCCCTCTTCGTCCCAGGTGCTCACCCCTCTTCGTCCCAGGTGCTCACCCCTCTTCGTCCCAGGTGCTCACCCCTCTTCGTCCCAGGTGCTCACCCCTCTTCGTCCCAGGTGCTCACCCCTCTTCGTCCCAGGTGCTCACAGCGCAACCCAACCACCCCAGGCACTCGTGTTTTGAGTCGACTCAAAACAACACCCAAGGCACTCTACTTTTGAATTCAGCTTCGTACTCCTCTCTTTCTTGCCCCCTGCTGCTCGCAGGTGCTCACAGAGCAGCCCAACCACTTCAAGGCGCCCATCTACCGGAGAGCACTGGCGCGCATGCACTCTGCTGCCTTTGACGAAGCAAGGGCAGACCTCCAACGGGTATGGTGCTCGCTGCTTGGAGCAAAACTCTCGCACCTCTCTGGTGGTCCCTAGCCTTATTGGTTCGGGTTTCTGTTATTTCTTTTTCCCCCCTTTTGTTTTAGCTCAAGAATAGTCTCAGACCTCTCTGGTTTCTATGTTGGTTCTCTGTTTCTCCGTACGCTTCACGCCATGTCTGGCATGTGCTGTGCGTCAGATGGCGAAGGCAGAACCATCCACGCAGGCAGATGCTGCTGCAGCTCTTGCCAATTTTTTTAATATCTCAAAAAGCAATCTCATTCTCTTGTCTCTCTCCTTTCACTCTGTGCTGTATCTGTCGTGCAATGTGCTGTGCGACAGATGGTGAAGGCAGAACCATCCACGCAGGCAGATGCTGCTGCGGCTCTTGCCAAACTCAAGAAGATGGAAGAGGTGAGAGGCTTGGCCTGACTGAGAGGCTTGGCCTGACTGAGAGGCTTGGCTGTGCACATGCATTCACCTCAGGAATGATATCTCTTTGTCCTATATAACCCAGATGTCTCCTTTCCATTCATGATAGCGCCATCCTTCCCCTCCCACCTCCTCGTTTTTTCAGCATGCTAAAAAAACAGATTCAGCATACAATTCCCCTCCTTGCCCTATACAACCCAGGTGTTTTTTTTTTTTTTCATTCATGATAGCGCCACCCTTCCCCTCCCACCTCCCTCCATCTTTGTCGCCCCTCCTCCCTTGGAGAGCAGGAGGCGGAAACCCGGCAGCGCAGGGAGCTGGGTGGGTGGTTCGACCGCAAGCCTGGCAGCCTGACAGCACATGACCAACCCCCTCCTGCGAGTGCTGCTGCTGCCGGAAGTGGTGGTGCTGCTGCTAGTGCTGGGGATGCGTCTGCAGCTAGTGCTGGTGCTGCCAGTGAAGGGGGTGGTGGTAATGGTGGTAATCCACCGGTGTTGTCAGAGGCAACGAGCAGGGCTGTGAGGCGGGCTGCAAGGAAAGCAGCAGCTGCTCTGGCTGGAGACACAGGTGATACTGTTGACAGTGACAGTGAGCCGAGTGACAATGAGGAGGGGCGTGATGATGATGGTGACGGTGGTGGTGGTAGTGGTGGTGGTAAAGGTGGAGATGATGAGGGCACGGAGCTTCTAGGGGCATTTACCCCGGTGAAAAGAACGGCACTGCTTACGTATGGGCCAGGAGCGCTGCTAATGATCCTGTCGTTTGCATTTGGATTGCTCATAATGAAGGATTTCGATCAAATGAGGATGACCCAGGTGCCATTGGAGGTAATTAGGCTGTATTCCCCCGAGCTCCTGGATAGTCAAGTGGACGACTACATGGATGACGAGCTGTAGAAACCCTGGATGATGAGCGTTGCATTCTATTAAATCTGATAAGGTCCCTATTTTTTTATATATTTTTGCTCAGTTGGACTTATTAATGACTGTCCAGGCTTGAAAGTGCATTACTAAGGGTAGCTAGGTGTGCATAAAACTAACGCAGGTGTAGCTGAAGTTACTAGTCCAAAAGTGAACAGTCTGTTACTTGACATCCAGTCTGGTCATGGCTGCTTCGCTGGTGTGGAGGTGGGGGAGTAGTTTCCTACCGGTTCCGCCACGCATGCACCATGCCTGCAAATGATTGTCCACCGCCGGATTTTGTTCACTCCCTGCTTCTGTACTTCACCTGGGGAGATCCCTGACAGTGCGCCTGAGCTAGTTCCGCAGGTCCCCAACGGTTTCACGTAACGCATGCGAAATCATAAAAGCCTTCTTTTCTGGGGCAGGGCAGAACAGAACATGCTTCGCTGGTCTACAGTATTCAAGAAGGATCCGCTACGCTGCAGTGCACTCACGGGGAATCTTGATGCCCCCTGCAGAATTGATGGATGAAAAATCTGCTTTGCTCGTGCTGCCCGAAAGTTAACGCGGACCCGGCGTGCGCCACATCATCCCGTCCTTCATTAAAACCACTGTTTGGTTCTGTTTGACCACATGCCGTGCCACGTAATGCTGCTTCCAAACCGAACAAACCATCGTGTCCGTAGATCTAGGATCCAAGAGCAGTTTCCATCCGCCAATGGCCTCCTTTTCCAAGGCATTGGGCATCTGGTAACTGGTTCCCCGCTTGAATGCTTTGTGCTCCACAGTTCTTGGCGCGGTCGCGGTCCTGACTCAAGTTTCTCTTGACACCCTAGGGTTTAGGGGGAGAAGCGCGCACGGCACCTGCCTTGCCTGTTCCGTTCGGGTCCGGAAACTTACCCTAAAAAAAGGCCTGGTGTGAATACAGTATCCGCCCTGCATGCTTTTGTTTTCTTTATAGAAACACCCATAACCTTGTGCTCAAGGACGGAAGGTTTTCCTCCCTCATGACGTGTGATGAGATAAGAAATGCAGCAGTGAACAGCTACATAACTCTCCTCCAGCTCTGCTGTTCCACTCACGCCTCTTCCCTAGTGTACAATGTCACGGTTTTTTCTGCCCGATATCGCCCAGAGCCATCTGGTTCGATCATCGATGTCGTCGACTGGGGGGCTGGCGGGGAGCAGGTTCGGTTTCGGGCGTGGGAGCACTGCAGCTTCCGCCATGGCCAGGACCTCTCCGAACCGAACCATCCAGGTACTGCACCCCCGCGCCGTCGCGGTCTGGAAAGTGGAAACCCAGGGTTCCGCCAACGGCCTCCCGCTTTGTCGTTTCCAGCACTACCGTCCCGCCGCCCCCTCCGCAAAAAGCTCTGCTGCGGAAACCCCTGAGAATTCCCCAGATGAACCAAATCGCGATTTTGTTAGCTCAACCTGGGGCAAGCCCGCCAATCGATGCGGATTTCGGACCAGCGGAAAGCGAAAGGGGGGCTGGCGGCGCGTCTGCGAGGCGGGGGGCCTTCTTGTCAGCGCGGACCAACCAAATTCCCACAAACCAGATTTCTTCCCAGGGCGAACAGCTTCGACCCCAGCGCAGTGCCCCCGCCACCTCCCCCCTCCCCGCCCCTCCCCGCATGGATTTCCTTTACGACCTCAACCCTCCTCTTGCCCTCTCGCCTCTTTCCCACCAATCCAAGCGTCCATATTCTTCCTTCCTCCTGGGCACCTTTTCCCTGCCAGGCTGCCAGCGCTAGGCTGCTAGCTCTTGTTCACCCTGCCCTGCCTTGCCTCGTTCACTCTAAATCCACCCACCAGCTGACCGCACCCCAATCGTCGACCATATCTCGCTCTTCTCTTCTCGTCGACCCCACCCTTCCCAGAGAATAGTCTTCTCTCCGAGCTACATGGTGGAGCGGCGGTCTTGTGTCCGGCTAATCTCACATCTTGTCATCGGATCTGCCACTGGATTGCAGCAATTATCTAGTCACTCTTCATCCATCGTCCAGGCATTTTTCTTTGAGTGCCGGGAACGACGCTACCGAGTCGCAGCGGCATTTTCCCAGTTTTGAGTCACATGGCGCTTGATTGGGCGAAAGCATTGCGCCAGGCGTCCAAGATCCGCTCATCCGCGCATCACCAGTGGAGCCCGGACTGCGCAGCAGCGGAAAGTAGCGGCCTTTCCGCCGGTGGCGGGCTTTCCGCCAACTCTCTACCCGCGTGCCCCGCGCCGTGGGCGCTCTCCCCCGCAACACCCTCGTCGTCCACGTCGGAAGGCGACAGCGCCGTGACGGTTACCAACGGATGCAAGCCTTTCGCCGTGGCGAAAAAGCTTTCCGTCTCGCTCTCCGCTCAGCCTTCCGTGCAGGCCTCCGCGCAGGGCCCCTCCCCCGCCCGCTCAGGCTCCCGCCGAGCTAGACAGGTAGCGCCAATGCAAGTTCCTCCTCTAGCGAGCCCTTCGACGGGTAGTTGCTCCTATGGCGGGCGGGGCGGAGCGGTGGCGGAAGCCGCGAGTCCGCGGAGCGCTTCGTGGGTGGGCGCGGCAGTCGAGACCCCGCGGGGAGCCAGTGGATCGCCGCCGTCCTTCACGGCGGTGTCGCCGTTGATCCTTCCGCCGAATGCCGCGAATGGCGCCGCGGATCTTCCCGCCGTTCAACTCTCCTCTTCGCGCAAAGCAGCTCCCGCTCGGCGCGCGAAAAGACCCGCTTCCTCCGCTGCACCTGCCGCCTCCAAGTCGCCATCCGCCGCGGAGGTGGAGACAGCACTCAATGATTGGCTGACGAATGTTCTCGCGCCGGCTCTTGCGGCGGGTGGGGCGGCAAATGGCAATGTGGCTGCGCCTCGGGCATCACCTGCTAGTGGTTCTGGTTCAAGTAATAAAGCGTTAACCGATTTCTCCGCCGGTTTCCTGCTTGGATCTTCGGCACCCTCCTCCGTTGCGCCTCCCCCGCCAGTTTCCGCGACCCCCGCCAATAGGCTCGCGGAGCAGCTGGTCGGGCAATGGCGGAACGCGCAACAGCTTCCCCGCACGCCACATGCGCCCGCGGTGGTACAGGCGACGGCGGAAACTCCCGCGCCTTTCCTGGCGCGACCGTCCTTCCCCCGAACGTCCTGTTCCGCCAACGCGCCTTCCGCGTTCGACGGGCCGCAGTGCAACCCGGTCGCTCCGCCTCCGCCAGTCCCGCAGGCTCGCAATGTATCCGCGCATGTGCCGCCGCCTGCGCCAGTGCTCGCACCCGCGCAGCCATTGTCTCCGCCTGAGCCAGTTCACGCGCCCGCGCAGCCCGTGGCTCCGTGTGCGGAGCATTCCGCGCGCGGAGGCAACGACTCGCCGGAAGACGCCTTCGGTCCGCTCGCGTTCCTCGCCGGAGACCTGGACGAGTGCGATCAGGTGAAACCTCAGGTGAACCTGCAGGACGTTTCCGACGCGAAGGGGAAGCTGTCCGGAGCTGGGGTGTTGGACGGCTGTGCGGGGTTGTTTCTCTCCGCCGCCCACGACGTGCGGGGCGCGGAGCAGGCCGGAGGGGGAAAATGCGCGGAAGGGGAAGAGTCTTTGGAGGAGCTAGCTGCACAGGATATCGACTGGCAGTCTCTGCTTGCACCTTGGGAGCCGGCTTCAGGTGGTTCTTCAGGTGCTCCAGGTTCGGAAGTCGATGCGGCTCCAGGGGAAAACTGTGGAGTTGCAACGGCGGAAAATAATAATGGGTCCAATGATTGCCCTAGCGCGACCAGCCAGGTCGTTGCTAGTGGAGATGGTGACCTGGCGCCCATGTGGCATGCTGACGTGGCGGATCTGTGCGTGGGAGTGCCTGCATGGATTTCGCACGAGGATATGGACGGTCTGCACCAGTGGGACTCACACAGCTACGAGGAGGACCATCTGCACTTAGCTAAGCGCCAACGCTTAGTCTGAGAAACGCTTGATTTTTAAACGTTTAGTCTGAGTTTGAGGACAATCACCTCCTCCCCGGACATTGTGTGCTGCGCTGGGCTGGCAGCATGATCCAAGATATCTTATAGCGCGTACTCATTCAAGAGGCGTGCTAGTATATATGGAGGTGATTTGTCCTACTTGCTGCCAATAACGAGGTGGGCGTGTTTCAGAGGAGGAACGCTCGAGGGTCTTGCTTGTCAGGTTGCTGTATTGTATGTTTTGCTCGTGTGCCATACTTTCAGTGAAACAATACACTCTGTCGGAGCATTCTGGAAAACCAGCATGGGTCGTTACGTTCACTTCAGACCTGACTGATTCATCAGTTTTATTATTTGTCCTGAGCTTAGTTGAGAAGCAAGTTTCTCTTAATTAGGTTGTCAGTTCCAAGTGACGAGGTTGAAGATGTTTAAATTCAACAATAACTTCACGGGTATAGTGGTTTTTCGCTGTGACAGGGTCACCTCAACTCCACCCGTTCTCAGTACCGCGTACAGCTCGGTGCATTTGACTCTTCCCTGCAGCGTTGCCCCATCATGCACATTGCCCAAACGCGTCATCACGCTGCAGGCATAGCCCCCCTGAGCAGCCTGCGACCTGACTTAGGGCGCGTGCGATCTTGCCGAACCTGACCAAAAGTTCGAACTTTTATAGCGGTTCGTCACGGTATAATACAATTTGAAGAGTTTTGCCACGGTGCAAAGCGGTTCGAGTTCGAACTTTGTTAGGTTCGGCAAGATCACACGCGCTAGCCCGACGCCGACTATCGCCTGTTGCCAGTCGCCTTTCGCAAGTAATTTTCGCCCATGCCGTTTCCTGCCTAATCTTTTGCCTGAAAGGGATACTAATACTACTAATAATCTTTCTCTTTCACACCATGCTACAATGGCAAGGTATGCTAGGAATCACAGCGGCTAACTAATACATCGAGATACAGCTAATGATTTCTAATTTACAACATTAACAACAATCATGGCAACGAGCTCCGTATAGTTAGTATCCCGTAGTTTGAGTCATACATGCTTGACAGGGGTTCTTCAGCACACCGTATATTCAGCAGTCAAGTTGCTGTTGCCCCTTCTGTGTTTTACAGAACATGGATAAACGCCGCATTTCAACTTATGAAAAATATATATATAAATGAATATTGGACAGGACAGGCAACCTCACAAGATAGTTGCTTTCACCAAGCTGTGCTCTCTGTTTGGATCCGCCGCCATTGCGACCGGCCAGAAAAATGCAGTATATGGACTACTTATTAACCCCCTTGTAGTCTCTCAACCACTTATTGACGGCGGCAGGCGGCCACTCACGGCAGGGACTGCTCGTTTGGCTCGCTTGGCCGAAACCGACGTTAGTAGCTCCACTTCTCGTACAGGTAACCCTAACGCAACCGTCGTTACACGTGAAACTGATGCCGAGGGAACTCAAAACGCGGCAGGTAATCTCAGCGATAGGCTCAAGTCGCAGCCGCTGTCGTCGCCGCTGTGCGACGGCGTGGCGACGTCGGCGGGCGGCAGAGCGAACGCGTCGAGAGAGGCGCTGCTGCTACTGCTGGCGAACGAATCCGCACGCTTCAGTGTGGTAACTGGCGACGCTACCTCCCACTCCATTTCGCCCATCGCTGCCGCATCTTCGCGAATGAAGAAATGGAAGGGGCTTTGGGCAAGAGGCACGGCGCGGAAGGTCTCCTCCCCTCCGCGCATGTCCGACGTCGCCACTGCCTCCATGCAAACCTCCCCTTGCCCCTCTCGCGCACACTCCGCGGAACCCGCGCGCGCGAAGAATTCCGCCGTCGGCCACTGCGGCTGGGGGAACGGCACGGGAGCGGCTGCGGCGGGTGCGGCTGCGGCGACGCGATCGGTGCTGTCGAAACTGGTCGCGCGGCTGGTTACAGGGCTAGCTGCGACGGGCAGTTGAAACTCTTGCTCGAACATGTGGCAGGTCTGGAAGGGATTTGGGGCAGCAGCCCACGGCACCGCGGCAGGTGCGGGCCACGGGCGGGTTTCCTTGACGTGCGGCACCCACTCCTTCGGAACCGATTTAATCGCTGCTGCCTGCTTGAGAGAGTCGGCCCAACCCCACTGCTTGGCGGCCATTGTTTCAAGGGAGAACTTAAAGGCTCTAGTAATCGGAGATGGAACGAATAGGTCAGGGAACTGAAGATGGAAAACTGATCTGCTGGATTTGCTGATCTTAGCGCGAATATATATCGAGATGTTCGCGACGAGCGGTAAATGCGCTGGTTCTGATTCGTTTGCGCTTGCTGCTGGTCAGTGGAACGCGTTTATCAGGTGGAAGTAACTTTCGCGGATATTAAATGCTTTTGAGAGTTTCGTGATCTGCGGCGGTGTTCGTGCTGCTGCTGCGTCGATGATTTTCAAATGTGCGCTTGGATCGAAATATGTACCCGTCCCCGTACAAGGGAAGCAAGACGAGGGTAAATTTTTTGGTTGGAGCACCATTGAATTTCCTCCTGGTCCTGGGCGGGCCATCGCACGGCCCACCACCCCACCATCGCCAGTCCACCACAACAACCAGGTGAATCCCATGCCCTCATCCCATCTGACGGACCATGGTCTTCGCCAGTCTGCATTCCCCGCCAGTCTGTCGCCCTGGTGGTGCCCGCCTGGTTGTGTCACACTCCCCTCCGATCTCCCATGGATCTCCCATGGCGACTCGTACCCTGCTGCGCCCCGGCATTCCTTCGCAACCGTCCATGCCTTTCGCCAATCTTTTCGCCGCCAGCCCTGGCGGCCCGAAACAACTTGGGGCCCCTGGCCCGGGGAAAACGCAACCTGCGTTGCATGTGGGAACCCGAGACGCGCGTGCGGAGGGGTTACCTGTTCCGCTCTCTGATTGGCCGGATGCCAGATTATATTTATTTCTTACCCCCACCATCCTTTTCCTCGGGCCCCCATACAGCCCTGCACACACTCTCAGGCTCCAATCAGCGGCAGCTGGTTCGCGTTCCGCCATCTGGACGCAGATGGCTGCGGCGAGTTGACGCATGTTGCGCCAGGATTCCTCAGCGCGGGGCGAGAAATTTGTCGTCTGGTCAGGGGAAAGTGTTCCCACTCGCCCCCATCTCCCACCTGAAGCCAGGTGCGGCGATGACGACGGGTTCGGCGACAAGTTTCGCGAAAACACCATCAGTGTGAAAGCCCCGTAACCAGCGGTCCATTCAATCGGCGACTTGGTCAAAGGCCAGCAAAACATTTCGTGTCCTATCTGCCAGGATTTTCGTCAGCCCGATCCTGCCCAATCCACACTCCCTTTCTCCAGCCATCCTCCGTTTCAGGTGAATCGAGCCATGGTTCCACTAGCATCTGCTTCGGTTGGGTGTTTCGCTAACCCGGTAATCGTTGCCTGACGACCAAGGCTGTATGTCCTGGCTATGCACTAAATAACCCCAAAATAAGCATAGTCATACACGTTGTAACCTACTTGGTACCCTGCAATCTCATTAATTCCTCGAGCATCTTTCAGCCTTTAGGTCAAGTTAATGCAAAAGGCTTTTGATCCATTACTCGCAGCTTTGTCATGCTTGGATAACAATAATATGGCCCAGAATTAATCAGCACACTAAACCACTACATTGACGATTGGTATGAGCAGTGGCGAGACACTTGTCACATGATACCACCGACCGAAGCTTGGTCATGACGCAACTTTCCTTCTTTACATAATTATATAGCTCCTGTGAGCTTTGTAAGAATGGCGAGCACTGCCACGCCAAGAATGATGTACAGGAAGTAGTTGGTCTGCAGTGGGCTGTCGGGACTGCCGCCCAGCCCAATGTATTCGTCTCGTAGCTTCTTCTTCATGGCACTCGACAACTCCGTCTGGGTCTGGAGGGGTGCAAAGGGGTGGGAGGGAGTGGGAGAAGGTGCAAGGCGATTGGGAAGAGGATAACACCAGGACCGTGCCAAGTACACCCTGCTTCGCACTCCCTTCCCCCCCACCACTTCCTCCCCCTCGCCCCCCTCCACCCACTCACATTCACGGACGAGTATTCAGCTGACTGACACAAACGTCACATGGAGGGGCCCTCTGCGCTGCCTCTATAGTGAAGCACTGTGGCGGGTCAAACGTGGCCCCCAATTCACTCAGTGCCTTGTGCGATGCTCACTATTCACTACCCGATCGCTATAACCTCTCGCCCCCCTCCACCCACTCACATTCACGGACGAGTATTCAGCTGACTGACACAAACGTCACATGGAGGGGCCCTCTGCGCTGCCTCTATAGTGAAGCACTGTGGCGGGTCAAACCTGGCCCCCAGCTCGCTCAGTGCCTTGTGCGATGCTCACTATTCACTACCCGATCGCTATAACCTCTCGCCCCCCTCCACCCACTCACATTCACGGACGAGTATTCAGCTGACTGACACAAACGTCACATGGAGGGGCCCTCTGCGCTGCCTCTATAGTGAAGCACTGTGGCGGGTCAAACGTGGCCCCCAATTCACTCAGTGCCTTGTGCGATGCTCACTATTCACTACCCGATCGCTATAACCTCTCGCCCCCCTCCACCCACTCACATTCACGGACGAGTATTCAGCTGACTGACACAAACGTCACATGGAGGGGCCCTCTGCGCTGCCTCTATAGTGAAGCACTGTGGCGGGTCAAACGTGGCCCCCAATTCACTCAGTGCCTTGTGCGATGCTCACTATTCACTACCCGATCGCTATAACCTCTCGCCCCCCTCCACCCACTCACATTCACGGACGAGTATTCAGCTGACTGACACAAACGTCACATGGAGGGGCCCTCTGCGCTGCCTCTATAGTGAAGCACTGTGGCGGGTCAAACCTGGCCCCCCAGCTCGCTCAGTGCCTTGTGCGATGCTCACTATTCACTACCCGATCGCTATAACCTCTCGCCCCCCTCCACCCACTCACATTCACGGACGAGTATTCAGCTGACTGACACAAACGTCACATGGAGGGGCCCTCTGCGCTGCCTCTATAGTGAAGCACTGTGGCGGGTCAAACGTGGCCCCCAATTCACTCAGTGCCTTGTGCGATGCTCACTATTCACTACCCGATCGCTATAACCTCTCGCCCCCCTCCACCCACTCACATTCACGGACGAGTATTCAGCTGACTGACACAAACGTCACATGGAGGGGCCCTCTGCGCTGCCTCTATAGTGAAGCACTGTGGCGGGTCAAACCTGGCCCCCCAGCTCGCTCAGTGCCTTGTGCGATGCTCACTATTCACTACCCGATCGCTATAACCTCTCGCCCCCCTCCACCCACTCACATTCACGGACGAGTATTCAGCTGACTGACACAAACGTCACATGGAGGGGCCCTCTGCGCTGCCTCTATAGTGAAGCACTGTGGCGGGTCAAACGTGGCCCCCAATTCACTCAGTGCCTTGTGCGATGCTCACTATTCACTACCCGATCGCTATAACCTCTCGCCCCCCTCCACCCACTCACATTCACGGACGAGTATTCAGCTGACTGACACAAACGTCACATGGAGGGGCCCTCTGCGCTGCCTCTATAGTGAAGCACTGTGGCGGGTCAAACCTGGCCCCCCAGCTCGCTCAGTGCCTTGTGCGATGCTCACTATTCACTACCCGATCGCTATAACCTCTCGCCCCCCTCCACCCACTCACATTCACGGACGAGTATTCAGCTGACTGACACAAACGTCACATGGAGGGGCCCTCTGCGCTGCCTCTATAGTGAAGCACTGTGGCGGGTCAAACGTGGCCCCCAATTCACTCAGTGCCTTGTGCGATGCTCACTATTCACTACCCGATCGCTATAACCTCTCGCCCCCCTCCACCCACTCACATTCACGGACGAGTATTCAGCTGACTGACACAAACGTCACATGGAGGGGCCCTCTGCGCTGCCTCTATAGTGAAGCACTGTGGCGGGTCAAACCTGGCCCCCCAGCTCGCTCAGTGCCTTGTGCGCCACTCACTATTCCCTTCCCAATCGCAATAACCTCTCTCCTCCACACCCACTCACATTCCCGGACGAGTATTCAGCTGACACAAACGTCACAGGGCGAGGACCCTCTGCCTCCCAAGTGACTCCCTGCGGCCGGTCGAACTTGGCTCCCAGCTCTCTCCCCCCATCAACTATCCACACTGCCCTCGACCCCAACCAGAACCTGAGCCATCTACTCACATTCCCAGACGAGTATTCAGATGCCTTGAACTTCACGGGGCGAGGGCCCTCTGCGTCCAGAGTGACGCCCTGTGGCGGGTCGAACTTGGCTCCCAGCCGGCTTTCCCCCCATCCAACCACACCGTCCTCTGCCTTTTCAAGCCACCCACACTTCCCTCTGCCCCCCAACCAAGCCACTCACATTCCCAGACGAGTATTCAGCTGCCTTGAACTTCACGGGACGGGGACCCTCCGCATCCAGGGTCACGCCCTGGGGCGGGTCGAACTTGGCTCCCAGCTCGCTCAGTGCCTTGTGCGCCGCGGCATAGTCCTTGAAAAACGCTTCCTGGTCTGCTGCATATTTCTCTGCATAGACCTGGCATGAAAAGAGGGTGAGAGAGAGGGAGGGAAGCAATAAGGGGGGTCAAGGGAGGGTCAAACGTGGCTCCCAGCTCGCTCAGTGCCTTATGCACCGCGGCATAGCCTTTAACAAATGCTGCCTGGTCTGCTGCATACTTCTATGCTTACACCTGAGCACAGAGACGGGTGAAGAGGGGAAGAAAAAGACAAAGGAGAATACCAAATACCACCAGGTCTTCAACCCATCCAGAAGCCAGACCACTCACCCAAATACCTTGAAGCCCAGGTCTTCAACCCACATCACTGTCCGGCCACCTTTCGTACCTTAAAGCCTGGGTCTTCAAAGAGGACGGCATCCGTGGGCAGCACCAGCAGATCCTCGTCCTGCTTGGCCTTCACGTCCTGATGGGGCATGAGATGATAAGGCATGACATGATAAGGTGATTCGCATGACAAGGCAAAGTGAACAACGTCAGTGGGGGCAGCACCAGCAGATCCTCGTCCTGCTTGGCCTTCACGTCCTGATGAGCAAAGGGGTATGTAAATGTATGTGATGCGGGCGGGTAGGCATGAGCATGAGACGGCACGCAAGGCAATCCAGGGGGCATCAGCGGGGGCAGCACCAGTAGGTCCTCGTCCTGCTTTGCCTTCACGTCCTGACAAACATGAGGTGGGCGGCATGAGATGGAGCGGGCGGCACGGGATGGGATGAGCGGCGTGAAATGGGAGGCATGGAATCGGCGGCATGGGATGGAGCGGGCGGGCGGGCGGGCGGCACGGGATGGGCATGAAAGAGATGGCAAGGGAGTGCAATTGGGAAACAAACAAACATAAACACAAACATGCAAGGGTAGATGAAAGGGAAGACATAGCAGCATGCTATGCCACATGTAATGCCACTACACGGTTCATGAGGAGCCTCCAGGCACACCCCACAGTAATACACACGGCTGCAATGGGATGCAGAGCGGTGTAGAGCGGCTTCCCATGCACCTTGAAGTAGGAGTTGTCAAACTTGAGCCACTGCACGGTCCAATAGGAGCGACCAGGCCGAACCACAGTGATACACACGGATGCAATGGAATGCAGAGCGGTATAGAACGGTTCTACACACCTTGAAGTAGGAGTTGTCGAACTTGAGCCACTGCACGGTCCACGAGGAGCCTCCTGGCCGGCCCGGTCCGTCCTTCTGGTAAGATGGAGCAGGTCAGGAGAGAAGGGAGGGGGACCAGGGGGATGAGGGAGGGAGACGAGGGAGAGCAATGGGCGTGGGGGAGATGGGCCACTGCACGGTCCACGAGGAGCCTCCTGGCCAACCAGGTCCGTCCTTCTGCAAACGGGGGAGGAAGGGAGGGTGAGAAACGAAGGACCTCACCTCACTACACCGCACTACACTGCGCTGCACATCATGAGCATGTAAGGCAAATTTGCACATCACTCGCCCCACATACATCTGCATCATGCTTCACCAATCAGTGCACCACACAGAACCGCACTCTACCACCCTGCAACACACGTCACCACAATGCAACACACTGAACCGTCCTGCACCGCACTGCACCACACCATGGGACTCACCGTGTACTTGGTGGATTCCTTGCCCCAGCCGCTGCGATCCGCATGAGCCCTCCCCAGCGTGTGTGCCCCTGACAGTGCCACTATCTCCTGTTTTGCCGGGAGCGCACAGGCAAGGCAAGCACACACAAGCAGCAACAGAGAAGAGTCATTTATGAGGCGCTAAAGAAATAAACCCAGCGTGTAAGCTCCTGACAGCGCCACTATCTCCTGTTGAGTTTTCCCGCGCACACGCAGGCAGGCACAAAAACAGGCAGTCGCACATACACAGGCACACATGCAGACAGGCACATGAACAGGCAGGCACACACATGAAACGGCAATTTAGTTTAACCCAAAAATCCTTGGGAACACACAAGAGCAACAGCATCACACGTGCAAAGACGCCCCTCTTTAACAGACCTCCTTGCTTCTCGCACAACCTGTGAGATGTCTCAAAACATGACCCATCCCACTGCATTGCGCCACATGGTAAACAGGTGCGAGCAGTGCTGCCCTCACCTGCTCGTGCCCCTCACCTGCTTGTGCCCCTCACCTGCTTGTGCCCCTCACGTGGTCATTGTCCTCACCCGGTCGTTGAGCCCCATGCGGTACAACACCTTGCGCAGGTGATCAATCCACTGGGTAGGGTTACCGGTAAGGCAGAGTGGATATGGTGGTAACAGTAACAGAGTTAACTGAGTGCAAGCAGTGCTGTCCTCACCCGGTCGTTGAGCCCCATGCGGTACAACACCTTGCGCAGGCTTGCTGCGGGCAAACCTCTTCTTACTGTTGCAGGTGATCCGCAGATGACGATGATGGTAACGGAGCTAGGGTGGCAAAAATGGTAACAGCAGTGATAACTGAGTGCTAAGGGTGTTATCCTCACCTGGTCGTTGAGCCCCATGCGGTAAAACACCTTGCGCAGGTGATCAGCAGGGGAGGGGGGACCCGCATCTGATGGTGAAGAGGGGGAGAAGAGGAAGAGGAGGGAGTTGGGAAGGGAGGAGAGGAGGGAGAGGATGGGGATGATGGAACAGAGGGAGGGGGAGGGGCCGGAAAAGACGTGGGGGGAGGGATGGGGAGGGGCAGGAAAAGAAGTGGAGAGGAGAGTGCAGGGCGAGGGATGGGGAGAAGGCGGGAAGAAGAAGAAAAGCAGGAATTTGGTTGGGAAGCGAAAGAAGCTGCGACACAGTTGCCGCAAAATCTCAGAGTCGGCACCTCACTTTCTGCTTGTGTGCTCCTCTATTTGATCCAGCTATTGGTGTGATAACTACCTCCAGTTCCTGTTCGAAACCACTGACAGGTTCTGTTGGAAGCACCTGGAAGGTTCTGTTGAAATCACCTGGCAGGTTCCCTTCTGGTGTGCAGTCCTCAGGGCCGGTGGCGTCCACTCGGCCATACCTCATGGGGATGACAGGCCCTCCTGCAAACTGGTGATGATGGGGTGGGATGGGGTGGGGTGGGGTGGGGTGATGATGGGGTGGGATGGGGTGGGGTGGGGTGGGGTGATGATGGGGTGGGGTGGGGTGGGGTGATGATGGGGTGGAATGGGGCGGGTCGGATGGGATGGGATGGGAGTGGATTGGTCGAGTCGACTCAAAAGCCTCTCTAATCAGGGCCGGTGGCGTCCACTTGGCCATACCTCATGGGGATAACGGGCCCTCCTGCAAACTGGTGTTGGTGGGGTGGGGTGGGGTGATGTTGGATTGGAGTGGGTTGGATGGGGTGGAATGGGACTTTAAAGTCGAATCAGAGGCATCCACTCGGCCGTACCTCATGAAGAGGAAATGATGGACCCTCCTGCAAGCTGGGGCGGGATGGGGTGGGGTTCAATTGGTTGGGAGTGGATTGAATCTGATTAAACTGGATTGGATAGTTCGTGCAAGTACCGTGCATGCAAGCATTCTAAGTCCCCTCTGACCCACTCACCTCAACGGCTGTAGCGCTGGCGAGTTGGAACAGGTCGGCCCAACTAACGGCAGGGAAGGCGTCTTTGACCGGCTGTAGCAGCACAATGGCCCCAATAAGCCCCTGTTCAGTGGCTACAGCACAGCTCACCTCAACGGCTGTAGCGCTGGCGAGTTGGAACAGGTCGGCCCAGCTAACAGCAGGGAAGGCGTCCTTGACCGGCTGTAGCAGCGCAATGGGCCCCGCCAGCCCCTTGTTGGCGCCGTGGTCGATCTCTCAAGTTAGCAGACGACTGACTCAAAACTCGACAGGCTGTAGCAGCGCGACGGCCGTCACCTAGCCCCTTGTTGGCTGTAGCGCAGCTCACCTCAACGGCTGTAGCGCTGGCGAGCTGGAACAGGTCGGCCCAGCTAACGGCAGGGAAGGCGTTCTTGACCGGCTGTAGCAGCGCGATGGCCCCCGCCAGCCCCTTGTTGGCGCCGTGGTCGATCTCTCAAGTTAGCAGACGACTGACTCAAAACTCGACAGGCTGTAGAAGCGCGACGGCCGTCACCTAGCCCCTTGTTGGCTGTAGCGCAGCTCACCTCAACGGCTGTAGCGCTGGCGAGCTGGAACAGGTCGGCCCAACTAACGGCAGGGAAGGCGTTCTTGACCGGCTGTAGCAGCCCGATGGCCCCCGCCAGCCCCTTGTTGGCGCCGTGGTCGATCTCGGGTCGGAAGCGAATGCTGCCATTGGCGCCACCCTGCTTCGGCCACTCTCCTACAGATTTGTCGAATGTGCCCGCATCATGCCAGCCCAGACGGATCTGCGGTAGGAAGGAGGAGTGGAGGGCACAGAGGAGGGAGGAAAAGAGAAGCAGCGTTTTGAACAGCAAGGGGAGCAGGAGGCATAAGAGAGGGGGCTGATGGCCCCCGCCAGCCCCTTGTTGGCGCCGTGGTCGATCTCGGGGCGAAAGCGAATGCTGCCGTTGGCGCCACCCTGCTTCGGCCACTCTCCTACAGATTTGTCGAATGTGCCCGCATCATGCCAGCCCAGACGGATCTGCGGTAGGAAGGAGGAGTGGAGGGCACAGAGGAGGGAGGAAAAGAGAAGCAGCGTTTTGAACAGCAAGGGGAGCAGGAGGCATAAGAGAGGGGGCTGATGGCCCCTGAGAGCCCCTTGTTGGCGCCGTGGTCGATCTCGGGGCGAAAGCGAATGCTGCCGTTGGCTCCGCCCTGCTTCGGCCACTCCCCCACCGACGTATCGAAAGTCCCTGCGTCGTGCCAGCCCAGGCGGATCTGAAGCAGGGAGGCCAGGGGGGAGGAGAGGAGTAAAAATCAAAAGGGGACCGCCCTGCTTCGGCCACTCTCCCACGCTCTTGTCGAACGTGCCCGCATCGTGCCAGCCCAGGAGGATCTGTAAAGAGGGCGTAAAGGAGGGAGGAGAGAGGAGGAAGGATCGAATCAGGTTGCCTTGACTCGTCTTGACCCTTCTGTACTAATTTGGTACTGGATTCGGGACTTCACACGGTAACGTGAAATGAAACTTGAAACGGCAACTTGAAACTTCAACTTGAAACGGTGACTTGAAACAGCAACATACGAGAATGGGGTTGCACGACTTGCTCGTGATGATGTCCTTAATCGCCTCGCGCGCCCCGCGCAGCTGCGCCACGTCAGCAGACGCGAACACGTGGCCAGGGCGCCCGGAGGTTGCTCGCGGCTTGCGGCCCGTTGAAGTCCGCAGCGCCTGCCCCTGTAATAGCCCCACGTGGACGCGGGAAAACGGTGGAAAAGGAGGTGGGTGGGGTGTGGGGCGAGGGGGAGGCGGAGGACGGGAAAATGAAACGGGGAAAAAGGGGACGCGGGGACAGGAGCGGGAAGAGGGGGGGAAAGGGTGATAGGGGAAGGAGGAACGAGCACTAATCTGACTACAAAGAAACAGGAAAGGAGAAAATGGCGCTGCGTTCCTGGCGGATTCAAGATTGCGGTAACTGGTCAATCGAGTTTAATGCGAAGTATTCTCATCATGTACCTTAACGGGTCGCGATGGGAGAAAGTCGCTCGTAAGGGCGGCGGAGGCGCGTCTGGCGACGCCAGCGGAGGATGCGGCGAATGAACACGTGTCAGGCTTTCCGCATCTCGCGGCGGAAGGCCCCGCAAGGCGCGCGGAGGCGGCGGACGGAGCGGCGACGGTTGCGGACGCCATTACGGTGGAAAAAATCCGCAACTAAGTGAAGAACGAAGGAGCTCGGAGCGGAGAAACGAGAAACGCGAGCTCAGCGGGGACGGAGCGCGAAGCGCGACACAGCAGAGTCGACGGCTGCGAATGGCTGCGTGAGCAACGTCGCGACGCGAACCCACTGCAGAAAGCACGGCTAGAAATGATGGTCCCTGATGCTGGGAAAGCGAGCTTGGCTGTACGTAGTGCGGCTGAAATGGAAACTAATTTATGTGGTAGGAGAAAAGAGTTGTCCAAGCTAGCTGAGAACCTCACCTAACCGTCTGAAATGCAGTTCGAAACGCTCAAAATCGTATGGAAACTCATGCAACCCCATCTCATTCTTCGGAGATTCGCAGATTCGCAGATGGTGGGTTGGCGGCAACTTCGAGGTCTGGTGGGGACGGGAAATTGTGGCTGGCGTGGCAAAAGCGACTGCTGACGTGGTAATGACACGATTCGCAATGACACTTCGCCACGATGCTTCCGAGATCTTCGAAGGTGAGAGGGAAAGGGAATCCCCATTAACAGTGCACCGCGTTAACCAGCGTGTTAATCATTGCAAATACAATAACAATGTCCAAAAGCGCCACAACTACTACCCGTATGTGCAAGCTTCATTTGTCTTTCGTCATATGAGTATCGTTCATGATCAAGCATAACTTTGATCAATCCAGTCGCTTATAGTCGCATCTTTCGGCCCTGAATGCTGTGTTGTTGCCCTCCTTCCAACTCCAACCCATGTCTAGCGTGTTACTGCCCTCTTATAATCATCCTCATCCTCCTCTCCCTCCGCTGACTCCTCGTCGTCCTCTCCCTCACTCTCCTCATCCTCACTCTCCTCATCCTCCTCTTCCCCACTTTCATCCTCAAACTCCACCACACTCCCACCTCCATCACTCTCCTCTCCCTTCTCCTCCCGACTCTCCACGCTCTCCACACTCCCCTCTTCCACCCTCTCACTCACTCCCCTCACACCTGATGCCGAACCTGGCCTCTGCCAGACGTTAGCACTAGATGCACCACCTGAACCCCTACCTCCCCCTCCAGGTGCCCTACCAGGTGCCCTACCAGGTGCCCTACCAGGTGCCCTACCAGGTGCCCCTCCAGGTGCCCATGCAGGGGCGGCATCAAAAGCACCACCCCGTGCACCACTGAAGCCACTTCCCGTCCAAACCGCCCCGCTCCCACACGACATAGACACCAATGGCATGTCCTGCCACTCCCCATCCCTCCCGCCTCCACCATCCCTCCCCCCTCTGCTGCCCCGCTCTCTCCCTCCGCCCCCTCCTGCCCCTGCCCACCTGGAAACCATTGGGCGCCCCAGCCCCAACCCCATGTCAGACAGATGTCCCTGACCAGCAGAGCCTAGCTCCCCCCTGAGTCCTCCTTTCCAGGGGGGAAGTGGTGCCAACTCATCCTGATTGTCATCCTGTCTCCCACCATTATCATCATGTCTCCCGTTTCTACTCCCCCCCACCTCCGTCCCGCCCTCCTCCTCGTGCTCATCCAGTGAGTGCATGGCTGGGCGGCGTCGGTTGGAGGTACTGTGGCGCCTCAGCAGCGACGTGCCACTGCCACCTGCTGCTGCGTACCTCCCTCCCAGTCCTGTGCCTCTCAGCCCGCCTTCTGCGAGGAATCCCCCTCTCCCTCCTCCTCCTCCTCTTCCAACCCCTCCTCTCTCTGTCCCACCCCCGGCTGCTCTCGCATCATCCTCATCTGACCACTCCTCTCCATCCGAATCCCCGGCATTGCTACCACCATTACCATTACCATTACCATTACCACCACCACCACCCACTCCACTGCGTCTCCTCCCCTCTCCTCCACCATACCCTCCCACTCCCCCACCCTCGCTTCCCTGCAGCCCCACATGCCCCCTTTCCTGGAAAGAGCCAGTGCTCGCCCATCTGCCATTGTACCCCCTCCTATGGTACTTGTCATGTCCTCCGTGCCTCTCCCCGAACCTCCCCCCGAGCCTCTCCCCAAGCCTTTCCCTACACTCCCCCCACGATCCTCGACATACTCCTCCTCCCATTCCTCCTGCTCCTCCAAGTCCCTCAGCCTTCCCCCACCAAACCTCCCGCTCTCCCCGAACCTGTTGTGGCTGCCTCGGCGAAGCAGGCTCCGGTCCGGGGCGGTTTGGGGCCGTTCATCATGTCTCCCAGGTGCCCACTGTGAGTGCCGCTCATCAGAAGCTGCATCAGCAGCACTATACCCACTGGGTCCTTCCCTTTCCCAGGGAAGCACCCCTGCATTATTCTGGGGGTAATCACCCACGTTGCCTGAGCGCACGGGCATTACTCCCAAGGATCGATTATCAAACGAAGAAGGGCGGTCGGGGGAGTCCCAGGGATCGGGCACAAGGTCTTTAGGGAGAGGGGACTTTTTCGCATGTGGCAGGGCGTGTAAGCGATCAAAGCGCGGGCTGTTTGCGGCTATGTGTGGGCTTAGCACGTTGGGGAGCAAACGTGGGCTCTGGAGGTGGTTCCAGCGCCCACTGCTACTCCTGCCCGCACCAGAAGCAGAAGCAGGGGTGAGGCGAGAGAGTGAGTCGGGAGGTAGGTCGGAATCAGGTTCTGTCAGGTGAATTCTCAGGTGGGGACCTGGGAGGCGGGCAGGTAGGTCGCGTGTGCCAGTGGGAGGGGAGGAGTGAGGGGCAGTGCTGGGGCGGGAGGAGAGTGAAGAAGGGATGGTGTCTTCTTGGTTATATGCAGCAGGAGATGGTGGGGAATGAGGGGAAGGAGGGTTTTGAGAGAAACGGCTGTGGGGGGAAATGGGGAGGAGGGAGGGCGCGGCAGCAGGTGGGCGGGAGGGAGGGGAGGCGCGGCGAGGGGAGGGGAGGGGGAGGCGGGGGGACCTGAGGGGGAGGTGGTTGGTGTGGTGGGGGAGGGCGTGGGGGGAGCGGAGGGGGAAGGGTTGGCTCATGGCAAATGCGGATGGCAGAGCAGAGCTGTTCCAACTGTCATGGGTTGAAGCAGCAGCAGCAAAGACAGAGACAGAGGCGGAGGGGCGGGAGACGGAAGGGCGGGAGGCGAAGGGGTTGGGAGGGTGGACGGGGTTGGGGGGGTTGAAGGGTTGGCTCATGGCAAACGCAGGAGGCAGAGCAGAGCTGTTCCAACTGTCATGGGTTGAAGCAGCGGCAAAGGAAGAAGCAGAGGGAGAGGCAGAGGAGCGGGATGTGAAGTGGTTGGTGTGGTGGGGGAGGGCGTGGGGGGAGCGGAGGGCTGCTGGGGGGAAGGGTTGGCTCATGGCAAATGCGGGGGGCAGAGCAGAGCTGTTCCAACTGTCATGGGTTGGGCGGGAGACAGTCGGACGCGCGTGCTTCTTCCGATAGTGCGGCGCAGGCGCTTGGTAAGCGGAGGAAGAATAAGTAGAAGCAGGGACAGCGGAGTGAGGGATTGGGGCCGCATTCCATGAATCATGCGCTCTTGCAGCAGAGGACGAGGAGGAGGAGGAGGAGGCAGAGGAAGGGCGGGCAGGGGAGGGGCGAACAGGGCCTCTGGGTTTGGAGCGAGAAGTGAGTCCTCCTGGGTGCCTCACAGCGCTGAAAGCACCTCCCCCAGAAGCGTCCTGATCACTTGAAACATCCATGTTTGTCAAAACAAGCATGTCTTCTTGCTCCTCCTCCTCTCCTCCCTCCTCTCTCTCCTCTCCATCTCCCTCCTCTTCCTCTTCCTCTTCCTCTTCCTCCTCCTCCTCAGCCATCCACACATCTGCCCGCCCCTGCACACCGTTATCGTCTGCATCACACTCTCCTCCCACACTCAGTCCTCCCCTGCTCCACCCCACACTCCCTCTCTCCTCATCTTCCTGTTCTTCCCACTCTTGCGGCAGATGCTGCTGTGGGTGCTGGTTCTCGCGCTGCTGCTGCCATGGTTGCTGCTGCTGCCACGGCTGCTGCTGCTGCTCCTGGTATGATACCGAGTCACCCCAAGGCATTTCAGCCTGCTCTATTTCCACCTGCTCCCAGCCTACCTGCCCCGGATCCACCTTCCCCACATGCTGCCAGCTCTCAGCAGTGAACGGCCGGTGCGGCATCTCCAAGGAAGCAGACGACCGATGCCGCCCAAGCCGGCTCCTCTGGCCCTTCTCACCCCTGCCACCGCCCCCACTGCTGCTGTTTCTTGGAAACCTCTCCCAACCAGAACCCCCACTACCAACAGCCATTCTATCCACATCACCATGACCACCATCACCACCAGCATCACCACCATCACTACCAGAATCACCTGCACCAATCATAACACCACCAGCAATCTTGCCGCCCCAAACCCCATCGCCTGAACCCGCGCTCCCCCTGCCTCCCGCCCCTGGAAGCACCGCTACAGACGCACTCCGGCCGTGCTGCGCCGCCCGCTGGCCGCACTTCGCGGCACTGTTCATGAAGGCCGGGCGGCGCGCCCCCAGCTCGCTGAGGAAATCGCGGGCTTCTGACGCCGCCCGGCGGTGGCGGGAGTTGGAAGATAGCGGGCTCTGGGCCGAGGCCGGGCGGCGAAGAGAGGATAGGGGGAGAGAATTTGGAGGAGCTACTTTTGCTGCTGCCGCTGCCGCTGCTGCTGCTGCTGCCGCTGCTGCTGCTGAATGCCCCGTCGCTGTCCCTCCTTCAACGCCTTTCCCGTTTCCTGTGTCATTACAAGAGCCTGTGGTGCTGCTTGTTCCCGCTGCTTCTGTGTCCTTTGGTGCTGCTTCAGCCACTGAATGCCCTCTGCCACCTGTCTCTACACCTGTGGTTTCACCTGACTCGGCACCTGAAATAGAAGCGCCTTCCACAGGAGAACCTGAAACAGTTGCACCACCAGCAGCAGCGGATACAGAATTTGAAGTGGCAGCACCTGAATCGGCACCTGAGGAAGCACCTGAAGCGGCACCTGATGCGGCACCTGAATCAGCACCTGAGGCAGCAGCAGCACCTGAAGAAGCTCCTGCAGACACTCTAAGGCCAGCAGCAGGGCTGTCAACTGAAATTTCCAACTCCCCTGGTGAGGGCGTCAGGTGGAGAGACAGGCGAGAAGCTGTACCACTTGGGGCGGCTGCAGCAGCAGAGGCAGCTGTAGCATCTCGGTCAGCTACAGCCAAGCCATTGCTAGCAGTTCCCCCGAGCCCTTCATCAGGGCACTTTCCCCTTGTGCCTGTGGGGCTGCTGGTGGCTGTTGTGGAGTGGTTGAGCAGGTGATGCAAGAGATGGGGCAGGGGAGGGACGGACTCGTCTTCCTCTGCTCCGGCTGCATCTGCAGCAGAGGAGGTGTGCGGGATGATGCCCCAGGGCTTTCGAGTCTGTAGAGAAGACAGGGAGGACGAGAGAAACGCTTGTTCCTTAGCCGATTCCGCTGCTGCTCCTCCTGCTGCTGCTGCTTCCCCTCCTGTCGGAGTTGAGGGCAGGGAGAACGCTGTGATGCCAGGGTCGGTATCACCACTGCTCCCAGCCCTTCCACACCCCACACGAGAGAGATTTCCTTGCGACTCGCGAGACTCCTGCTGCTGCTGCTGCTGCTGCTCATGCTGCTGCCGCTGCTGCTGATGCGAGAGAGCAGCAACGGGCATGCCCGTGGGCGACAGCGGCAGCAACGAGGCCTCGTCCTCCGCACCTCCCTCTCCCCAACGCCCATCCAGCAAACCCGGTTCCGGCACACAAGTAGCATCAGGCAGTAGCTCAACACGGGGAGGGCTGAATCGCCCTTTGAGAAACTCCTTGAAGCTGCCCTCGCGGGACTTGCTCCTGCCAGCGCCCGTTGCTGCTAATGCTCTGCCAAGCGTCTGGGAAGACCCCGAAACTGGTCGCGAATCTAGAGCTGATTGTGAGTCTGAAGAGTAACGCTCGTCTTCCCCTCCTACTTCCCCTCTTACTTCCCCTCTCCCTGCTCCCGTTTCTCCTCCTTTTCTCCGCCCCCATATGCCCCAGAATTTCTTGCCCCCGCCCTGCCTCTGCGCGTCCCCACTCCCATCCGGCTCTTGGCTAAGCATCTTACTTACAGAGTTATTATAACTTACAGACTTGGTCATTTGCACGGGGCTACTACCTCCTACACCTTTCCCCTCCCCGCTTCTCACATCCCCTCTTCCACCGTCTTCCCCCTCCGCCAGGTTCGACCCGCCCCCCTGCCCCTCTGCGTCTCCTTGCGCCAGCGAACAGTGCTCCGCTATAGAGTGCTCCACTATGGATGGAAAGGTGCTCAAAGAGGCACTTTTCCTGTGCCTGCTGCTGGTTGGAACCAGCTTGGAAGGGCCAAAGGGGGTGAATGTGCTGCTTCTGCCAAACGCGCTGCCACCCCACCCTGTTTTCTTCCGCTGCCCACTCTCCCGTCCTTTCCCCCCTCCTACACCTCCCCCTCCTCCTGTTGGCGTCGTTGGTGATTGAAGCGCACTGCTGCTGAAATCTCCCCCGCTACCCTCCCCCTCGCACTCCCCGTCCCTCTCTCTCACACACGCCTCGTTCCCCCTCGTTCCCCGCGGATCAAGCAGTCGGATAGAGTCCGCGGAGCGATGGCGGGGGGAGGACTGGAGTGGGGAGGCGGGCCGGGGCGGGCGCGAGTGCGCGAACGGCGAGGGGAGGGGATGCGCGGCGGGCGAGGGGGGTGGGTAGGCGGAAGGCGAGGGGAGGGGGTGGGCGGACGGCGAGGGGAGAGGGTGGGCGGACGGTGAGGGGAGGGCGTGGGCGGAGGGCGAGGGAAGGGCGTGCGCTGAATGCGCGGAGAGGCGTCCGGAGGAAGGGAAAGGGGATGAGTCTGCAACAGCCCAACTTTGCGCGGCACGCGGGGACGCGGAGGAGGAGGAGGGGGAGATGAAGACATGCGCGCGCGGAGGAGGGTTGCCCGCTTGGGGCGGCTTTGGGGAGAAAGGAATGCGTGCGGCCATTAGAGGGGCGAGTAAAGGCGACACGAAATCAACCGATAACGATCTCCCGTGCGTTCGCTCCCTTCGTCCCGAACCTGCCCCTCCCCCTATCCCTCCACCTCCCCCTCCCCTGGTCCCAGGCTGAACTCTCACCCGCCGGCCCCCGCCCCCGCCTTCCCCCACAACCCCTCCGCCGACTCCCGCCGTCCCCCCTCCCTCATCACTCACAAGTGAATCATCCTCTCCTCCCCCGTTCCCGCTTCCGCTCCCCAGCCCGCCCCTGCCCCCGCCCATGCTCGCTTTCAAACTAGAAGACGTGCGGAACCCTAACGCCCCCAGTCCCGCCCACCGCAGCGGACTGAAAGGCATCCGCGGACTATTCGCGCCGCTATTCGTCGCGCTTCCCGTCGCGCTCCCCGCGCCCCTGCTCGAGTGCGGGCTTCCGCATGGGCTGACTCCGCTTCCGCCGCCCGCGCCAGTGCGCGCGGGAACTGGCGGAAGAAACTGGGGGGAAAAGGATTGGAGGCGGGAGGACCTTCCGCCAGCCCCCCCCCCGGGCAAGGGGCTGGCTTGGGGAGTGTCGTCGAGGCTGCTGGAAGCGGGAATGGCGAGCGGCGGAAGGGCGTTGGCGGAGAAGGATACGCGGTCGGAAATGGCGGAGCGACACGTGTCACGGTTTGAGCGGTCGAAGCTATCGGATCGGATAGGACTCAAGGCACGTCCTCTGCTGCGGCTTCTCCGCCAACTCCCAGTAGCACCAGCAGCGCCGCTTCCTTCCGCGTTTCGTCCGTCTCTCTTACTCATTCCCCTCAGTGCATCGTCCCCTGACGAAAATACTCCGCTGTCGCTAAGGCCCTCTCCTGAGGCTCCTGCACCCACTGTTCCTCCGTTCCCCACTCCCTCTCCTCCTTCCCCCTCCCTCTCACCATCTCCTCCGCTCGCCGAAAAAGGCCTGGGCCCGAACCTGAATCGGCCCGGGCTTTTCAGGTCCAAACCTGAGGTTTGGCCGAGGAACCAGAAAGACTCGGAGAGACTACGGCTGCGAGAATGGCTACCTTTACCGCGCCTGCTCTTAGCGAGTAACGAGGACGGCTGTAAACCGTCCGGCGCCGCCTGCACACGCGGGCTGGGGGACGCCGACGACGCTGACGTGGCAGCCGCAGGACAGGCGACAGCGCCTGCTGCTGCCACGTCAGCAGATGTAAGGCGTGGGCTGGCGGCACTAGAGCCAACGTCCGACGCGTGCTGAGTCCCTAGGGGAGAACTGGCGACAGACGTGGAGGCTTGGGAGGAGAAGGCGAAGGGGGAGAGCGAGAGGAACGCCATTGATGACCGCGAGCGACCGTGCCTGGACGCGCGCTTCGGCGTTGGCGGCATTCCCAAGGGCGCACCTCCGGCGTCTCTGCTGGTTCTGCTGCTGCTCGCAGCGCTGCCGCCGCAGCTCACGCCAGCTTCTCGCGGGCTCGCTACCACTTCTCGTCTTCTTCTTCCTCGACCAAGAAGGTTCGAAGCAGATTCCGTTTTCGAAACCGACCACGCTCCCGAAACCTCAGCCGCCGCCGCCGCTTCCGCCGCGGCCGCCTTTTCCTGTCGCTGCTCCTTATCAACCGCCGCAATCGCCAACGCCGCTGCCTCCGCAACGGTCACATGCGGCGCGGAACGACTGCCCTGAGCCGCTCGATCGAGCGACGGCCCCCGTGACATGAGCCCAGGCCGTAGATCTACCCCTAATGATCCCGAATGAAGTCCTGGAAACGCGGTACTGAGCGGCGCAGCAGTGGCGTCAGCAGAAACGTCAGCAGTGTCATCAGCAGTGGTGGCAGCAGCATTGACAGCAGCAGACAAAGAAAGCCGTGAAGGACCTTCCTTTGCGTCAACGTTAATGCTTCCCGAGCGCCGTCCCGGTGAATCGCCTTCGTCGGGCGAATCCCAAGATTCGGCGAGCAAGCTTTGCCCGAAAACCGGCAACGTGGCGACGGACGAAGGGCCTTCGCCGGCCGAGACTGCGAGTCTCGCCGTCATGGCGAATGTGCAAATAGTAGGGCCCATTTTCGGCGGACCTGCTACGTGGGGGTAGATTCTCGAGCCGCGATAGTAGCTACCCACGTCATGATCATCGTCCATCAAATAAGTTCGTAGGCGCTTGCGAAATAAATCCTAACCAGTGGGAACAGGGAGCCGTGTCGTATCAGTCCAACCGCACGTTGGAGCTAAGTATTTTTTCCGACTCCTCAGTCTTTCTTGGACGCTGCCTTCCATATGAACCTGAGGTATACAAATTCACAATATCCCTCCCGATGACAGACGCGTGTCATGGCGACTGGTCTCAGGTCTCATGGATAGCATTCGTCTCACTGCCATGAATGTGCAACTGGTGTGAGTGGGGATACAAATAGGTCAGTCAGGAGGAGGGACGGGATGGACGGAACTTGACGAACGAAACTAGAGAGAGGAGAGGAGAGGAGAGGAGAACCCTTGGAATTGGTTTGTTGGGTGAAGAAAACGGAATGACATGCTCGAGGGGCTGGTGTCCGTTGGTTGGTTGCTCGAGGTCCGCGTAGGAATCAATGGAAGCAGCCAACTTTCCATGGTGAAGCGAGGTGGGGCAGGCAAACCTCGAGGAGAGGCATGATTGGCGGTGAGGCACGCCAATCATGAGCCCGGTTCTGAGGTCACATTTCAGGTTACCTCGTAAAAAAAAAACCGGGAAGGAAACAATCTGTTTAGAGGAATCCGGCGAATGGTGCTTAGCCTGTTGTAAGCAAATACTTTGTTGTCGTAAGCATTTATCAACGAAAATAACTACACAGATCAATACACTCTCACAAACCACCGCCTGTTCCATTGCGGTCGTTGACAAGCGTGGAGTCAAACCAGCCCATAAGCCAACTTGGGCACCAACTTCCCCCGAAAATCCGGCCTTGACACAAAATGGAGAGCAGCTAAAACAAACTGACTGAGCAGCTAAGGTGGACAAACTGACCCACTGGGGTGGCTGAGACTTCAGCGAGTGGTTACCTCAGGTGCAACAATTCACAGATCTTGTGCGGCCTCCAGACATGGTGAACAAAATTGATGTGCGCATGCCCATTCACAGCACAACACCGCCATAACATAACCTGAATAATCCCCCCCCAAAAAACAGCAATATGTTCCTTTGGGGTTAAGTTATCTAAATTATAGGTTACACAGTGTACCACATATGAAATGCAAGGTGTTCACGACCAATTGCTTGCCAACCCTCCAGATAATGGGCAGAAAATCGCCTACCTCACTTCTTTTGGTATCATAATCTCCAGCACACACTGTTGCACTTGCTTTTGTTGATGTTGTCGGGCCAAAACCAAAACCTTATGTGCATGCTAAACCATGTCAAGTTATATTGGAGATGCAAACAAAGCCTATGAATCTGCCAAATACTTCCAGTAAAAATCATGCATCAGTTACAATACATATAATAACACCCTCGCACCCTCTCACCCAGCAGCAGCAACTGCTCAGGGAAGGCGGGTGCGCCGTACTCCATGGCAGCTAATTCACCATCGAAACGGCGGGGAGGGTCCATGTGTTATGATAGGCTCTTAGCTAGGAAACTATGTTGGGAGCCATGGCTAGGGTTTTGGACTTAGGAGCTAGGAAATTGGCGAGAGAAAGGAGATGGCCAAAGAGGGGTTGCACTAGAAAGAGTGGTACAAGATATAGGCAAGGCAAAGGGTACACCACCAGCAGTTGATATAACTAACCTAATACACTAGTAAGCTGTAGGCAGGTATAAGATATGCACACCATGGACCACGTCACGTTTGACCTCAACTCCAAAAATGGCGTCCTCTCGAGGTTGTCTTGTCTTGCCACTTGTGTTTGGACCAGCATCAATCTCACAGGGTCACTCACTCATCTACCTTCACCAGCCCACTATCCTCAACTCAAGCAGCCACAATCACAATCACAAACAAAAACACGACGCCTCAAGCACGGCTCTGCCTCCGAGGTGAGTTATGAGTCAACTCAAAACCCCTCAAGTAGCCACAATTACAATCGCAATCACAAACACAAACACAACGCCTCAAGCACGGCTCTGCCCTCCCCACCACAACCACTGCTGCTCTGGCAGCACCTGAGATAACACCTGCTGCTGCTCCTGCTGCGGCTCCTGTTGGTGCTGCTGCTGTTGCTGCTGATGATGTGTGCGATGCTGCTGCTGTTGCTGCTGGTAGGCTTGTTGCTGCTCCTGCTGCTGCTGCTGCTGCTGCTGCTGCTGCTGCTGCTGCTGCTGCTGCTGCTGCTGCTGCTGCTGCTGCTGCTGCTGCTGCTGCTGCTGCTGCTGCTGCTGCTGCTGCTGCTGCTGCTGCTGCTGCTGCTGCTGTTGCTGTTGCTGATGCTGCTGCTGTTGCAGTAGCACCATCTGGTGCATATCACGAGCAGCAAAAGGGGGCACTGCAGCTGCAGGGGGCACTGCATCTGCAGGGAGCACTGCATCAGCAGGGAGCACTGCATCAGCAGGGGGCACTGCAGCTGCAGGGGGCACTGCAGCTGCAGGGGGCACTGCAGCAGCAGGGGGCACTGCAGCAGCAGGGGGCACTGCAGCAGCAGGGGGCACTGCAGCAGCAGGGGGCACTGCAGCAGCAGGGGGCACTGCAGCAGCAGGGGGCACAGCAGCAGCAGGGGGCACAGCAGCAGCAGGGGGCACAGCAGCAGCAGGGGGCACTGCAGCAGCAGGGGGCACAGCAGCAGCAGGGGGCACTGCAGCAGCAGGGGGCACTGCAGCAGCAGGGGGCACTGCAGCAGCAGGGGGCACTGCAGCAGCAGGGGGCACTGCAGCAGCAGGGGGCACTGCAGCAGCAGGGGGCACTGCAGCAGCAGGGGGCACTGCAGCAGCAGGGGGCACTGCAGCAGCAGGGGGCACTGCAGCAGCAGGGGGCACAGCAGCAGCAGGGGGCACAGCAGCAGCAGGGGGCACAGCAGCAGCAGGGGGCACTGCAGCAGCAGGGGGCACAGCAGCAGCAGGGGGCACTGCAGCAGCAGGGGGCACAGCAGCAGCAGGGGGCACTGCAGCAGCAGGGGGCACTGCAGCAGCAGGGGGCACTGCAGCAGCAGGGGGCACTGCAGCAGCAGGGGGCACTGCAGCAGCAGGGGGCACTGCAGCAGCAGGGGGCACTGCAGCAGCAGGGGGCACTGCAGCAGCAGGGGGCACTGCAGCAGCAGGGGGCACTGCAGCAGCAGGGGGCACTGCAGCAGCAGGGGGCACTGCAAAGGGAGCAGCGGGCGGAGCCACAGAGACAGAGGGTACGAAGGGAGGAGCCACAAGCGCAGCAGATACTAAGGGAGCGGATGCTGTCACCGGAGGGGGAGCAGGAGGGACGCAGTCGCTGCCACTGCTGCTGCAGCGGCTGCCACAGCTGCCGCCAGCCTGGCCCTGCAAACCCTTCTCACTGCATGCTCCTCCCGTCCCAAGCCCGGTGCCAGCACTAGCACCCTGCCAGGTACTGGTAGTGGTACCATGACCGGACGTGGCCACCGCATGGGGTGATTTGTGTGACAGCAAATGGGGTGAATTGTGCAACGTGCCAGCAGCAGCAGTAGCACCCTGCCAGGTACTGGTGGTTGTACCATGACCGGAAGTGGCAACCGCATGGGGTGAATTGTGCAACAGCATATGCTGCTGCTGCTGATGCTGCTGCTGCTGCTGCTGATGCTGCTGCTCTCTTTGCCCAAGCAGGTAGTAGTGCTGCTTCAATAGTTGTTGCTGTTCTGCTGGCGGTAGCTGCTGCTGCTGTTGCTGCTGCCGTTGCTGCTCATGTAACTGATGGTGTTGCTGCTGCTGTAACTGATGGTGCTGCTGCTGCTCTTGTAGCTGTAACTGGAGCTGCAACAGCTGTTTCTCTTCCTGCACAAGGCGGGTTTGTGCCTGAGAATCAAGTCGCTGCTGCCCACCCCACTGCTGCTGCTGCTGCATAAACGCCGCAACAGCACTGTCGAAAGCAGGAGCAGGAGGGGCAGCAGCAACAGATCCAGCAGCAGGCTTTGCAATACCGGGCTGAAACGCATCTGCATTAACAGCAACGCCAGTGCCAACAGCACCTGGGATAGACAGGGTAGGGGACAGGCCAGGTACTGTGCCTGTTGTAGATGGGGAGTATTTTTGAGGCGCCTCAAAAACAACAGCATTGGCACCAGTGCCGCCAGCACCAGGGACAGACAGGGTAGGGGACAGGCCAGGTACCGTGCCTGTTGTAGATGGGGTGGACTTTTGAGGCGCCTCAAACACAACAGCATTGGCGCCAGTGCCGCCAGCACCAGGGACAGACAGGGTTGGAGACAGGCCAGGCGCCATGCCTGTTGTAGATGGTGTGGATTTTCGAGGCGCCTCAAAAACA